CTACAATGTTCTACAATGTGCTTCGTTCTACAAGCTTACTGGTATATTCGAAAGCGTAGAAAGAACACGAAATGAAAAAGACAAAAAACCATTACATCGCCTGTAAGGTCAACTTCTAACATTCGCTGCGATGTTCATGAACAGAGGATGATAGGAAACGGAACTAACATTCATTGTAATAGATTTTTGGTTTGCGTGTACTCGTAACCCACTCACCAAACGATTATTTTCAACAGCGAGTAACGAATATCGCACATATAACCGCATTCTTTACAAGAGCTACACAAGGCGTGTGCAGGCTAATTTACGGCTTAATCCAAAGCAGTTACCAGTCGGAATTCACCTGGGTGATAGAATCGCCAGCAATTCCCTTGAGAAATGTAATCTTCTGGCAGAACATTTCAAAAGCATTTTCAGTGACACTACGGCTTCGTTGTCCCAAGTTGCTGAAGCGGTGAGGAACACTCCCAGTGATGCTTTCAATTTTTCGATTACCTTGGTTACAGTAGACCTCGTCGAATCCGCCATCAAGAAGCTGAAATTTTCTAATGCTGCTGGCCCTGACGGGATCCCCTCAAGCATCCTGAAGCGATGCTGTTCAGAGCTTACAACACCGCTTTCGAAGCTGTTCAATATTTCATTACAGCAGGGGGAGTTCCCTAAGCGTTGGAAATCGTCATTCATGTTCCCGATCTACAAGAAAGGAGACAAGAGAAACGTCGAAAATTACCAAGGGATCACATCACTCAGTGCCTGCTCTAAAGTTTTCGAAATCATCATCACGACGCATTATTCTCTAGCTGCAGAAATTACATTTCTCCTGACCAACACGGTTTTTATCCCAAGAGATCAGTTTCAATAAATCTAGCTCCGTTCATTTATTTATGTCTTCGGAGTATGGAAGCTGGAGCGCAGGTGGACGTTGTATATACAGATCTTAAGGCTGCATTCGACCGGGTTGACCACTTCATACTGCTAGCTACACTTGAAAAACTTGGTGTATCCTCGGGTTTTACTCGTTGGCTCAATCCCTATCTGACCAATCGGGAACTTTGTGTTAGAATCGGATCCGAGCAATCGGACTATTTTACAAACAGCTCCGGTGTTCCTCAAGGTAGCAACTTGGGACCATTGCTATTCTCGATTTTTGTGAATGAGGCCGGACTGATCCTCCCAACTGGTTGCCGATCGTTCTACGCGGATGATGTGAAGATCTATGTGATTGTTCGTAGCTTCGCCGATTGCTTGCGGCTTCAGCACCTAATCGATACTTTCGAAGAATGTACAAAAATGTAATATTATCTCATTTCATCGCAAGCTGAAACCAGTGGCATTCAACTATACGATAAATCACCAACTTCTGCAACGTGTGGACAATGTTCGTAACCTAGGAATCACGCTGGACTGCGCCTTAACATTCAAGCTTCATTACTCGGACATCGTTGCGAAAGCTAACAGGCAACTCGGGTTCATTTTCAAGATCGCTGACGAGTTTCGCGATCCTGCCTGTCTAAAAGCTCTATACTGCTCTCCAGTGCGATCGATCTTGGAATTCAGCTCGGTAGTATGGTGCCCGTATCAAGCAGTTTGGATAGCGAAGCTTGAATCTGTTCAAAGGAAATTTGTTCGGTATGCCTTTCGTCACCTTCCTTGGAATGACCCTGTGAACCTTCCGCCGTACGAAGATCGTTGTCAACTTCTGGGTCTTGAAACACTAGAACATAGGCGGACGATTAGTCAGGCCGTGTTCGCAGCGAAAGTACTTATTGGTGATATCGACTCTCCAGGAATCTTGGCTGAATTCGAAATCTACGCACCCGAACGAGTTCTTCAGTCGAGGAGTTTCCTGCATCTTGGACCTCGTGCTGCGAACTACAGCTTGCATGACCCAATACGGTTCATGCCTGGGCGTTTCAATGAGTTTTACGAGTTTTTCGACTTTAACTGTGCAGCGGAAACCTTTCGTCACCGTATTCAACGCAAACTCCTGAGAAGGTGAGTAACTGTCCATTTAATGTACACGTGAAGGATTGTGCTACCTGTTTATTTTTTTTTGTTTCTGGTTCAACTGCATGACGAGGACTTCTACCTGATTCACGGACAACTCTATGCCATAGGAGGATAACTTTTTTATGCTATAGACTTGATTAATGTTCGTTGTAATTGTATTGTATTATTGTGATTCATGTATTTCGAAAAGATATGGGGTTTTTACGCCTTTTCTAGGCTTTTCCCCATCAGGCTTCATTTAGACACGTTAAGGCGGGAAATACAAGTAACACGTCAAAAACTCGACGATTTTCGGAATTTTTTTGTGAGCAAATGAAACAACGCAAACGTTTGGCGTTAAATTGCTTAAATCTTGCTCTACATTTGAGATTTTTTTTATTGGTGTGTGACCTTTGTGGCTCCTTGGGGTCACATCGGAAGGAGGTCGCCTCCGGTGGGGATTGGTAATTGGCGAGCGTTCTAGAGACCTGAAAAATTGACAAAACTTACTTTTATCAATTGAACTTTATTTTGAAAAGATTTTTGTTCTATGTGAACCTCTGAAACCCAAAAAAACGATTTAAAAATTTAGAAAAAAGAATAACTGAAAAAAAAGTTGATTTTTCACTGTTTTTTTTCCACTTTAGGCAGACCTGAAAATTATTTATTGTTAATTTTTTCATGATAGTAAATTTCATAATTCATAATGAATAATTCAAAATTCATAGAGTAAAAATATATTTCCTTTAAGATGCGCCAGGTTACAAGTCATTTGGATGAGAACTTTTTGAGTTATCTTTCCCGCCAATTTGGAAAACACCGTTTCGAGATAAACGCGTTTAATATTTTGGGTTGTGTAAACACATGTTTTCTGGAGCTTACGATTAATCGGCGATACCGGGGCCATAGATCACTCCTTCCTCGTGCTCGTAGCATTTAAAATAAAATTAAAGTAAAATATAAAAAATCGATAAAAAAAAAATTACTTGTATTTCTTCCCCCCTTAAGTCCGATGAAGAAAAAAAAATTAAATAAATAGGGGAAATGGCTCTAATGTTAGTCTATGAATGTAAGATTGGGCCCATCGCTAAAAATCTGCTATTTATCAATTTTATCTAGATGAACGCGTCATTGGGACAGTACTCATGGATATCTTTGGTCACAATTGAAAATTTAGTCGAATGCTGAATTTATGTATGCGCCCAAAGACCGACATTACATCCACTTCCCCTACTATGCGTTGCCTTAAAAGCACGAAAATGGTCTGAAAACACTAAAAGAGCAATCAAAACGCTTGAATAGGAAACGAAAAATAGCTGAGCACCTCGAAATGAAGAACGCCAAAAAGGCCTAGATTTTTTCTTTTCTTCTTCTCTTCTTTTTTATTTGAGAGGTTTTCAGCAGGCCTAGAATTGAAAAACAGGATTTAATAGCCTCAAAATCTCCAGTATATCAAAAATGAAAGAATAGTCCATGAACCGTGAAAATAACGCCAGGAAACGCCAAAATTTTTAAGGCAAGAAAGATCTAATTAAGTTCAAGCTCTTTTTTACTAGTAAAACTTTAACTAAAATGGCTCAAATTTACCTCAAAATTGATTTTAAAATTCAAAATTCGAAGATTTTAAATTCAGAAATTTTTACATTAACTTTTGATGACCTGAATAAAGTAAATAAAGTATTGACGATAGTTATACTCGTTTTGATTTGTTTTTAGAGATACTTTCAAACTTCTATAAATTTTCAATATTCACTATACTCTATATTTAAAAATTCAATACAGTCAAGTGAAAGGCTTTCGTTAGTTGGGCTGAGCTGTCAAAGCTGAAAATTGCTAGCGGATACATCGATTGTCTATTATCATCAAAATCGTTTAGCAACTTTCCAAATTGTTCATCCATGAGCCCCTCGAAAATAAATCTGCAATGTCAGAAATGACGTTTGACTCAACTAACGGGAGCCCAACTAAAACGTATCCCACTTAAAGATAGCCCAACGAGCGAAATTCGACTGTATTAGGATCTCAATACTTCCCACAATAACAGCAGGTAGAGTTCCAGTTCTTCCACACGAACAGAGAATAGTGCGGGATTACGGAGCGCGTGTACAATCATCAACACAACAGACGAGTTCATAATAGTTGTTAGGCCAGTTCAGTGGTTTTCGCGAAACTCGTAGCCCAAAAACCATGTGCTACTCTAGGTAGCACAATTTACCGACGTCCAACACTGGGTAAAAGTCCAGCTTCTTGCCGTGAAACAAATTCAAATCAATCGTACTTGTTCTAAGCCTTCGGGAGAACACATTATCTGCGGTGTTAATTGTAGCACGAGATCGTAGAAACTTGATCCGTAAGTATTCATAATAGGACTTGTCGTCGTCGGCAATGTAATTAGTGCACGATCCGTTGGTGTTATCTATGTGTGTAGCGATATGGGCGAGTGTTGTGAAGCAGTGAGATAAGGCACCGGCGAATTTTTCCACACTTCTCGGTCGTGATCGCGAGTGCGAATGTGTTTGTAGTGTGACGCACTATCAGGACAAGGATGCGAAATTCATCCCACTCAATAGCTAGCCTTTCAATCGCAATCGAGGCCGAATTGAGCATAGAGATAGAAATTTCAAAACTGCCAAACTTGAATTGAATTGAAATTTTCAATTGTGTGCTCAATTCAAGTTCAGCGGGTTTGAAATTTCAATCTCTGTGCTCAATTCGGCCTCGCTTGCGATTGTTCTTGCTGATTTGGCGAAAGTAGTTCAAACGTGTTAATTAATTCTAACATTTTAACCCGATCCCTGATAAGTACTCTCAGTTGTACGCTGGAGTGCAAGGAGGCAAGCGGAAAAAAAAACAAACAAGCAAGGAACATATGTAACCAATACTAGTGCGCCGGAGAGAGAACTGCAGAGAATGACGTATGCTTGTACGTGAGTGAGAGTGCGTAGCGTGGTAGGCGTGGTAAAACGAACACATGGCACGCTTGGATCCAAACAGGAAGAGCGAATTTGGGCTACAATTAACTGAGAACTAGAAGATCAAATTCGTTCTATGAATGATTAATTTTATTAGTGATAAGTGCTTTTGTGCAAGGTTATGATTGAATCGTGCTACACTACTAAAAGGACAAACGAGTACACACAAAATTGGCAATGTGCTAATCTCTCGCTCTCTCACACACTCTCGCGCAGCCACTCAGTTGTTAATAGAGAAAAAAAGGGCCAATCAGCAGCAGAGCAGCCGACGATCGCCTATTCCTGCCTGACCGATGCGGATGATCGTGTTAAATATGTTAAGAGTTATTTCTACAAATCAGTTATTGTCAGTTTGAACTCGGTTAAGTGAAGATCGACTGTAGGCAAGTGTTTACAGTGATATAAGAAACAGTTTTTTTTTTCATTCGTGAAGGATTTCGATCCCGAAGCTAGATAGCACGGACATCTAATAGGATTTTTGGAGGTAAAACTAGTTTTGTGTGAGTGGATGATGTAAAGGAAGGCAATCGAAAAGCTTTGTGTGGAATGTGTGTTTCGTAAATATTTTGGTTCGCTTGCAACACGTGAGCCACGGGCGCGATTGAAACTGCACGTAGGAGCTTCTTACGATGGAGATTGGAACATAAGTGGACCAAATTGAATGGCCCGTAAATTTATGCTGATCTGGTTGGGAATTGCTCGCGTGAACTTGAACTCGTGACTCGTGGAACAGGAGCTTGTGTGTAGATTTGAACTGTCAATCAGTGTAATGCGTTACAATAATTAGCAACAAGATACGTAAAGGGCTGATCCAGATAGGACCAGTTAAACGACCTATACGATCGCAGTACTGTGAATGATGGGCTGACAGATCAAGGCCATTCTTGAGGCTTGAGATAGGGAGAGCGTTGTATGAATAGTTGCATGCAAATTTTGAGTAATTGTGACGACACTGCAATTCAAAGGTGTTGGAATAATGGTATTTTTTCGATTTGTGTAATAGCTAAAAATGTCCCTCTTCAGCATTGTTTGAATATTTTTCATTGAATTGCTTGTGAAAAATTATGTTTTGTGAAATTTTCAAAATGCAAACCTCAAAATTGGGAAAAATCTTTTTGGTGTAGAAAATTTCAAAGAAAGTAACCCTTGTCACTTCACTTAGATTTCAGCGTGAAGTGGATAAGCGCCTCAATTACTTGATTCCTCCACCGGTGACCGGTGACAATTAATTATATGATTTGAGTAGTAGCTATACTGAAGATCCGGGAGATGTCGCCCCTTCAGTGGTAGGAAAATCATTTTTGCAGTATGGAGAATATCAGAAAATCCACGATTTGTGACTAAACATGCTTTCACAGAAGAAAACAAATAAACGAGTGTTTACCTTATTACCATATGCAATTTACCTTATCATCACCGTGCAATTTTTGTGCATCTAAAACTGCCCATAATGATAATGAATAAAAACTGAAAATTTTCATGCACTTCCAAATGGTTTCCTACCATTCCCATACATTCGAAGTGACTGGCCCTCTTGATGTGGATGATGTCAAAAACAACAAAACATGATTAATTGCTTTTCAGTTATATATTCGTATAGATTGTACTACGACCACTATTGATAAGGTATTTTCTTAGGGTCTCAAAATTTTGTGAAATTTTGCCCGAAAAAAAAAAAATACAAATAAATCGGGGTGGTTAATTTTCCCGGATAATTTTAGTTGAAGTTTTCGTAGTTTGACAAATAATGATAAGGAAATTATCGCAGCAACCCATAAAAATACAACCTGAATTATGTTTTCCACGAAAGTATTCACGAAGTAGAGAAAATCTGAGTTTCATTACACAAGTCGAAACGAAGCATTTTTTGTATGAACGCATACATGAAAAAGTTTGTCGCTTCTACTTACAAAATGAGGCGTCAGGAAAAACCATTGCCAGGGTAATGACAATATTTCTAACGATTTTTTTCATGCTTGAAAACTTCTTATCGTTCCCAGACATGGGAAAATAACCGAACGGTACAGCACGGGTGCTGGTTTGGTTATCAAAAATGCTCCTGTGTGTATACCACCGACAAACCGACATGACACTTAATTTTGACTTATGCCGAAAATCGTTAAAAGCCTACTTAATTGTGTAGTGATCCGAACTGTCACAACCATCGGATATTTTTATCTAGATAAAAATATTTTTTTTTCAGAATAGATCAGACACGAACCAATTCATAACTTTTGCAAGCGGGTTCATGACTTAGCTAAATATTTCCCGCGAACACGGAGCCAGATGTCAGTAGTGTGCTTTGTTCAGAAATTTTATTGTTTTTGCTATGGTCATTCATGTCGGTTTGTCGGTGTGTATACTATCATGTGAACCGCAGTTAATAAAACCAAGAACCGATGTGCTCGAGTTTTGTGTTGGGTTCACAATATCAACTGCAGTGCTGGGTGCAATTTATAAAAACCCAAACCGGGTTCACAGTACGGGGAATTGGGTTCTTCAATTTTGACAAATATATCGCTATCATCTGCAATGGCTTCGTTTTCTGAGCACAACGATATTTTTACGTAGGACTACGTCTTTGTGGACAAGTCTAATGGTGCAAATCAAAAAAAAAAAATGTGTGACGAAATAGCGTCAGGTTTTGAACGCTTATAACATGGTCATTTACGAATGAAATTCAATTTTAATTGCACCATTTTATTCAGATTAAATGTAAGATTTTTTTGGCATAAAGATAATAGTTGTTTATCAATGGATACCTATTGAAAATTGATCAAATGTGCTCGCTCGCTATGACTATCGAATCGAGCGAGACGAGCCGGTACCACTGTCATTTTTTTTTCTGTGCTTTTTTTCTATTCATTGAAACCAAGTCTACCTAATGAACTGTCAAAGCGGCTATCTATCGTGCAAAGTAAACAACGATGTTATGAATGCTCCACGAACGGTATTGCAATAAAATATAATCGAAGAAATTATCAAAACACGCTGAGAGCATTAAATTGTCCTAGGTTACGTATGGTAATAATCAGTAATAAGAATTTATAATATTTGTTATTAAGATAATTCGACAAAATCACTGATGTAATCATTTACTACAGCCACTAATTTAGTTTCTCGCTAGAAGTCATTTGAAGTTAATGCATTGATCTGTTGCCAAGTGAAAGGGAAGGGAATCTTTTGGAAACCGTGTTGCCAGTTTCACTGTTTTTCCCTCGACGTAAAGACATTTTGTCGGCACATCTGCTTCTTGTTGTTGCGTCGGAACGTACACCAACTGGATTCTGTGCCATCGCTATGGCCCCTTGGTTATCCTCGAATATTGAAACAGGAAACAACAACTTGATTAGGGCCCAGATCAGCCATCAATCCACTGAGCCATGTGGATTCACTGATGCAGCTGCTCATGGCGATATATTCAGCTTCAGTAGATGACATTGCCACCGCGCCTTGTTTCTTAGAAGACCACGCCACCGTACAGCCGAAGACTTTCAGTAGATATCCTGAAACGCACTACCGGTCCTCCTCGTCATTCGCGTTCGGCAGCCACAAAATTAGGGGCGTTATTTGGGCTGCAATGGTAAACCAGCTCCAAATGCCTAGTACCCTGAACATACCTCAGGACTCTTTTCGCGTGTTGCCAGTGCTCCATACATGCTGTGTCTTGAAACCTCGAAAGATACCCGACGATGAAGCACAAATCCGGTCGGGGACCCATCAACAGGTACATTAGGTATCCAATTAGTTCACGATAAGGATGCTCGCACCGCTCACCGCTTCGTTTCAACTGCAACATGGTTTCAGCAGGAGTTTGGCATGGTTTGCAGTCGCTCATCGCAAAACGATCAATGCCGTCTTCAAAAGCTTCATGATTCCTTGTTCACGATCTCGTTGAATCTTGATTTCCAGGAAGTCGTGCAGCTCGTTCATGTCAGCCATGTAAAATTCGTGTTTCAGCGTTTCCTTGATACCCAATAGTCCCCTCCAATGGGAACTGTTTTAACCCATACAATGATCGCTTCAGCAGACAAAATCTCCCAGACTTGGCTCTAACTTCATCCGGTATCTGTATATACACCTCTTCCTCCAGCTTTCCGTTCAGAAAGGCTGTACGGACGTCCATATGGTGGATTTGCAGATCTTTGGCGTTCGCAATAGCCAGAACCGTTTGGATTGCGTTCTTCCGCTGCACACAGTCTTTCGCCACTAGGCTTGCTAGGATTGGATTTCCATCAACGTCCGCCATCAACGTAAATACCCATTTGCATGGCACGGGTACAACCGATTCTGGTTACTGCACCAAAACCCAGATCCGGTTCTTCTCCAACGCACTCAGTTCCTCGTCTACCGCTTTCAGCCAGCTTGCTCGATTTGGATGGCCAGCAATGTCTTTATAGGAGACAGGAACCTGCTCCACATGACGAAATGAATCCTTGAACCATTTTGGTTTCCTGAACTACCGACCACTATTCCCTGGAGTAGTCCCGCTTTGGAAGTTACCCCTTTCAAGTTGTGGCGGGACTGGCGGGAGTGCCATGGCTCCTTCCTCCTGGTTGTCTTGATCGTCGGAATCCTCGGGCAAAGAGAAATCGTCGGCGAATTGCTCAGTGTCTGCATCAGGATTAACATCGGGATCATCATCCGGTGTAACTGCCTCTGCATCAGGATCAACTTCTGGATTAACATCCGGTGTAACTGCCGTATCTTCTTCATCCTCCTCTTGCTCTTGTACTTGAGGAATCACTAACGGAATCTTCCACCTTCCGTGTCGATGCAGAAATTCGATTTCATTAAACCGGACATCACGAGCTACGAACTGCTTTCTTGACATCAGATTTCAAAGTCGATAACCACACGGTGCGTATCCAAGCATTACGAAACGTTGGCCAGTAGGATCACAGTTCGGTTGAACAGCTCAGCTACTCCATTCTGCTGTGGTGTATAGCCAACCATCGACTCGACTTGAATCCCACGTTGCTAAAGGGTGTCCACGATGAAATTGCCACACACAAAATTGATTCGCAAAATTCGAGCTAATTGTGGATCGTATGCAAAGCTGGTGCTCCCGAAATTTCTTGACGCTCAGCATCAACAAGTGCAATGTAATATCATTTCACCGCAAACAAACCCGATAATATTTGATTATTCCATTTCCGAGCAAACGTTAGAGAGGATTACCATAGAGGTAACTCTAAGGCTGTGAACCATTTGCCGAGTTAAATTTAACTCGTGGTTAAAAGTGACATTTCGAAAGTTATTTTCTATGTTCGAAAATCCCCGTGCTGTCGATCGACCGATTTTCGACCCACGGTTGTCAAAAGTTAACTTCTTGTCTGTCAGAAATAACCATGCTCGGATAGCAGGGTTCATCGATAACGTTCCATCCGTCAAATTTTAACCAAAAGTTAAAAAAATTCGCCAAATGGTTCAGAGCCTAAGACTAGTAGGTCCCGAAGAAACGTGCTCAACTTTTTGGCTCAGCTCTGGTACTATTTTCGGTCCCAAGCTAATCGATGCGCCCCTCGAATCACAGGAAAATCTACGAATCCCTCATTTTATCTGTCAAACTTTCATCGCAAATCACAACAAACATTGTGTAGTACTAAAATTTCGACTAGAATGGGGTACGTTAATCGATTTTCTTGGGACCAATAGGCTGGTCAAGTAGTGAGCCAGTTTAAAATCGTTAGATTCCACCGGTTGGGATTACCCAGATTTGAGAGTGTACAGAGAAAGTTTGTTCGCTACGCGCTTTGTCATCTGCCCTGGCGTGACACGGCTAACTTATAGTGCGTTCAGACTACAGAGTTATAACATGTTATAGCGCTATCTTGATGGTGGTTTCTATGTTGCAATTATTTGACAACCGTTATAACATGTTATAACTCTCCAGTCTGGACAGCGTTTTACGTGAATCGCAGTCGTCTGCTTGGAATTGACACCTGGGAACATAGAAGATGGTACGCTCAAGCTGTGTTTGCTGCTAAGATCATTACCAGCGAGATTGATTCCCCCGAATTACTTCGGCAGCTTTTCTTTTACGCACCCGAGAGAGTGATTAGACAGCGTAATTTTGAACATCTCGCAGCTCGTAATCGGCAATATGGGTTGAATGAACCTATCCGTGCCGTCGCCAGTGCTGATAAAAATCATTCCTTCTACAATCAACTTAGCTGAAAATGAAGACAACCTTAACAGATAGACCAACTACCTGCATGAATTTGAACTTTGATAAAAGAGAGCTTAACGACGTGTTCGGGGTATCATCCAAACCATTTGTGAGATAGTTTACCCATCCGGGATACAATTCGTTTATAGTACTTGTTTATTAGGGTTAACTTTTGGTTAAAATTTGACAGATGGAAAGTTTTCGATTAACCCTGCTATCCGAGCATGGTTATTTCTGACAGACAAGAAGTTAAATTTTGACAACCGTGGCTCGAAAACCGGTCGATCCACAGGACAGGGATTTTCGAACATTGAAAATAGAATTTCGAAATGTCACTTTTAACCACGAGTTAAATTTAACTCGGCAAATGGTCCACAGCATTATCTCGTGATTAAAAGTGACATTTCGAAAGTTATTTTCTATGTTTTCGAAAATCGTCGTGCTGTCGATCGACCGGTTTTCGAGCCACGGTTGTCAAAATTCAACTTCTTGTCTGTCAGAAATAATAATGCTCGGATAGCAGGGTTAATCGAAAACTTTCTATCTGTCATTTTAACCAAAAGTTAAAAAAAATCGTGAAATGGTTCAGAGCCTTGGGCTGTGTTCCATTTAGTAAATTTTCATTTAAATTTGACAATTCGAAAATTAATTAATATGTTCGAAAATCCCTCTGTTAATGGTCAGTCGAATTTCGAGAAGGTTTCTGTCAAAATTGATTCCTTGTCTGTCAGAAATTAATCTGCTGCAACAGCAGGTTTATTTGAAAATTTTCCATCTGTAAATTTTAAATGGAAAATTCACCAACTGGAACACAGCTTTAGAGGACTTTAATTTACATTCATCTCGATCAGTCAAGCGTCAAGAATAGTTTCAAACCTTAAAAATCGTTTGCCTATTTATATCACCTCAACAAAATGCATAACCTTGCTGGCGTGTATAAACAATAGAAATAGCCCAAAAAAGATCGTATGCCGAGGTTAGATTCCATAACCCTATCTCGGAAAGGGGCATACGGAAACACTTTATTCTAAGAAAGAAACAAAGTAAAAATTTAATCTAGTAAAAACCCGGAGGTGCAATGCCTTTATTAAAGCACAATCAAACATTACTCATGCTCTGAAGGTCAGCAGCATAACTCACACGATGGGGTTCATGAAAAATTTGAACCGAAATGTTTAGTATTTCGTTATCTGTTCGGGATTCTTTGAATACGTCGCCGTTGCTGCGAAAATATAACATCATGTACCGCCGAAGTGTTGATTGTAAACTGCAATATAAGCAATCTGTTTTTAACTAAATACCGATTACAATCTCGAGTCAAAATAAAATGTTGTAAAATGATCGCGGATTTTGCAAAAAAAAAACAACTACAACAAACATTACAACTCACTTACAGTATCGGTTGGCTGTACGAAAATATTGTTATCGCTATTGAAACAAATAACAAACATATTTTTCATAAATATTCAACAACGTTTCACGCATTTCACGCCAATTCGTCGCACTTGTAACTTGTAACCGTTTCCCACATGGTCGTTATATCTGGAACACGGTCGAGCTGCTGTGCAGTTTGTTTTTGTTGTTTCTATTTTCCACCATTTTGCGCAGACATGTTTACCAATAGTCCAGCGCATTTTGCATGTTCGCAGTTCACCGTTGCCATGGTAGGAACCCTCATGAAACTATATAAGCACCTACTGCAATTTCAATCGCGTAGGCAAACAAAAATAAGATCGCTACTAGCTGTGCACTACTGATTGCACGGGCAGCTCGAACTGATAACGGGTCAAGCCCGCGCCTGAGTCCTTCCGAGTCGTCAGCTGCACACGATAATGTTGATGATGATGATGATGCACAACATAGCTCCGATTGAAACAGACTTCTAATGTTATTGACGGTTCGTTTTCTTCATTAAAAAAAATAACAGAATGGACCCTCCGTCGTCAGCCACTCCGTTGACGTCGTCATCGCGATCAACACCCAATCAACAGTCCGTAGACAATGCCACCAGTGACGAACAGCGGAACGACACACTAAGCGTAGATAAAGCCGCTCTCGATGAAATGCTCAATACCAATGCGTTCACGGTGCCACGTGTTTCCCCCGTTGATAGTGGAGCAGTCGAAAAGTACAAGCTGACCGGTAAACGACTCGATCGAGGGGTCGTTCAGTCGGGTTTGACGCACGAATGTGGAGTATTTGGAGCAATCGCAACGGGTGAATGGCCCACTCAGATGGATATCGGGCAAGTTATCTGCCTAGGCTTGGTGGCCTTGCAGCATCGGGGTCAGGAATCGGCTGGTATCGTTACCAGCGAGGGAAAATGTGCCAAGAATTTCAACGTTCACAAGGGGATGGGAATGATCAACAACATCTTCACGGACGACTCGATGAAGAAGCTGAAGGGTAATCTGGGTATTGGTCACACCAGGTACTCGACTTCGGCGGCTTCCGAGGAAGTCAACTGCCAACCGTTCGTCGTCCATACGGCCCATGGAGCTCTTGCGGTGGCCCACAATGGAGAATTGGTGAACTGCGACAGTTTGCGAAGGGATGTACTGTCCCGAGGTGTAGGCTTATCTACACACAGCGACTCGGAACTGATCACGCAAGCTCTCTGCCTGAATCCTCCGGATGGCGAAGGTGACGGTCCGGATTGGCCCGGCCGTATTAAACATCTCATGCAGCTAGCCCCACTCTCCTACTCCCTGGTCATCATGTTGAAGGACAAAATCTACGGAGTTAGAGATCCGTACGGTAACAGACCTCTCTGCATCGGCAAGATCGTACCGCTGAGCATCGGATCCTACAGACAAGGTATGTTTTCAAAAAAGAATCGGTAGACTTTTGCCAACTCACGATTTTTGTCTCTCCACAGAAAAAGTAGACAAACTGGCAGCCGAAGGCTGGGTCATCTCGAGCGAAAGCTGTGGTTTTCTGTCGATCGGAGCGAGGTACGTCCGAGAAGTTGAACCGGGCGAAATCGTGGAACTGACCCGCGATGGAATCAAAACGATCGACATCGTCGAATGTCCGGAAAATCGCCGCCATGCGTTCTGCATCTTCGAGTACGTGTACTTTGCGCGATCGGATTCCATCTTCGAGGGTCAAATGGTTTACTCGGTGCGATTGCAGTGCGGTCGACAGCTAGCTCGTGAAGCCTACGTAGACGCTGATATCGTAAGCTCAGTTCCCGAATCGGGAACGGCCGCTGCACATGGTTACGCTAGAGAGGTAACTTGTAGCCTTCATGGAATTCCTTGGTCAGATTTTAACAACTTCCCCCAACAGACTGGTCTCCACTTTGCGGAAGTACTCTGCAAAAATCGCTACGTTGGACGTACCTTCATTCAGCCTTCGACTCGCCTCCGGCAGCTAGGTGTTGCCAAGAAATTCGGTGCTCTCTCGGAAAATGTCTGCGGCAAGCGGGTGGTCCTGATCGACGACTCGATCGTACGCGGCAACACCATCGGACCGATCATCAAGCTTTTGCGGGACGCTGGTGCTAAGGAGGTTCACATTCGTATCGCCAGTCCACCGCTGCTGTACCCGTGCTACATGGGTATCAACATTCCAACGCGGGAGGAGCTGATCGGTAACAAGCTGAACCCGGAAGAATTGGCCAAGTATGTTGGGGCGGATAGTTTGGCTTACCTGAGTGTCGAGGGACTGCAGAAGGCGGTCCAGTCGAACATGAGAAAGAGCAATCCCGACAAGGTGGGACATTGTACGGCCTGTCTGACGGGAGACTACCCCGGTGGGTTGCCGGACGATTTGGATTGGTGAGATGGATGGGGGCGGCCACTTTCGGTCGTGTGAATTTTACTTTGTTTGCTGCTCCGTCATATGATGCGCATGACATGGTTCAATCCATCGTGGGTTTGAGATGTATTGCATAGCTTATAGAGTTACGCTGTTGACGATGTCCGATCTGAGATCAATTTTGACATTTAATTTAGGGACATTACATGATAATAAAGACTAGATTTATTCTGCAATCAGTTGAGCCCCTAAGTTAATCCGAAAGCATTGATCTTGACATGGCTCGAACATAAAGGTCGAGCGCGGTTGCAGGAGCGAGGATGGTGGAATGTTGTTGTCAGTAGTTTCCAGCATCGTAGGCAGTGGTATTCTGCAGAGAGCATTACGTATTTCAACTGAGGTTCGTTCGCTTCACGTATTATTGTTCATCCTTTATTCGAGAGGAGTATCATCTGATTACAAAACAACCGTTATTCGATTGTAGCTATCATTCCAAAAAGCGTTTTCGATGTTTCGATTTGAATGGTCTGAGGTTTCATGCGAACAGAGGATGATGTTATGGTACAGTTTAGTACGACTGATTCGGGAACAAGTGCTTTGAGTGGGAACAAGAATAAGGTGTAGGTCTCCGCTATACCGGGAATCGAATCTCAAAGGTGCTAATCGCAGCCCCGGCTAATAATAAAACTCGTGGCATACACTGTACCCGCCAAAATCGGTCTAAATACTTAAGCGCCACCTTAACAGAGGACAACTTCTCGTTCTTGGATGACCGGCAAACTCAAACCCCAGGGCAAGTTCATTTTAATACAAATGATTGGAACGAACCAGTAGACGTAAAAAGCTTGAAATTCTAAAAAGATACTAACTCCAACCGAATGAAAATTAATCGGAAACCGTCTTTCTACCGGAACGAATGCACTGTGGCAATATGTTCCCATCACAGGTCAAGCTCTTCCCTAAACACAAAATCTACACGCTTCAGGACAGAAATTGTGGACTGAGATTCCCAAGCAGTCCGACTTGGAGTAAAACCAAACAACGAACGAAACGTGAGAATCTTTTTCAGACCAGTGCACAGTGGGCCAGGAATGAAATCTAGCAGGAAAAAAATAATAACGCTCTGGGATTGCATCCAACTGATTTGACGTCTTCAGCAAAGTTTCCTGACTTTTAGTTAGGACTATAATTTGGTGGATAAAAATAGTTCAAGATTTTACCGCACAGATGGCGCAGCGTACAAACTTCTTAATTTTGTACGCTAGAGGTTTGCAGTCTTGGAAAAAATTGTAGAATGTAAAATTTAGTGAAAAAAATATGTAAAACTTGTCTGAATTTACGGTTTTAGTTTTAATTTTTATAAATTCGTTCAAATTAATGCTATAATTAATTTTTCGTCGATCGGTTTTGGTTCCATCAATCTTTTCCAGAAAAACCAATCGGTGAACACTCGTGTTTATTTCAGTTACCGTGGAGACGTAATTTGTGATTAGCCCCGGTCCCTTTCAAGTTGTATCATACATATTGCATATATTTTAAATGACGTTTCACATTAATCTAGTGATGGCCGATTTTCATTCGAATAATTGATTAATCGATTAACGAACCGAAAAGTAAAATATTTGTAATCGGTTATATCATGCCGATATAAGCATTAACATCTCCAGAGGATCATCACCGATCGTTTCAAACATGTGCTGCACTCTCATCTTCTTCGCAGGAGCAGCTGTCTCCTGGGCGAGCCGGTGTCAGGACTGCGTGAGCCTCTTGTCCATGGAGGCAGACTACGTGGCACTAGGAAAGACTAGAGTCGGTGTATAATGAGTCACGCCAAGAGAAAAACAGTTGAACTCGCATCACGGTTTTCGAAAGATTCCCTTTCTTTTCACTTGGCAACAGAGGACCGCTACCTGTCGTCGGCGAAAGCTCCGGTTACTCGTGGGACTAAATCGGCCTTTAATACGTTGAAAACAGTGCCACAGCGTGGGGATCTGCTATGGATTTATCTGTCAGCTTTTGATCCCAACTCTCCAGATGATGACATCGCATCACTAGCAATTACCTGCATGAATCTGGGCCCCGATGTGAAACCTAAGGTTATCAGGTTGGTGCCTAAGGACAAAGACCCTGCCACACTTAGCTTTGTGACTTTCAAAGTGGGCGTTAGTAAGGATCTGAAGGACGTTGCATTGTCAGAAGAAACATGGCTTGAAAACGTGTATTTCCGTGAATTTGAAAATCGCTCAAAAAACTGTCAAGTCATCAGTATTGGTGCGAAACCACCAGCGGATACCGGTGGCCAATAGTATCCTCTACATTGGAATCAATCAATTCACCGCTGCTTGCTGAAATCAACCCAGAACGTACTGTCTGCATCGGAAACTACTCATCTTACTGCTTCTCGAACAGTTCCGGAGTTCCTCAGGGAAGCATACTGGGACCACTGCTCTTATCTCTATTTGTGAACGATGCAACGTTTATCCTGGCTAGCGGAGGTAAATTGTTTTTTGCTGATGATCTGAAAATTTACATTGTTGTTCGCAACCAAGCTGATTGCTTAGAATTACAAAAGCTTCTGGAGATCTTTCATGATTGGTGTGTGCGTAATTTTATGCTCCTGTGCGTCTCAAAGTGTTGTGTGATTAGCTTCCACCGAACTAGTAATGTTATTTTGTTCGATTATAATGTTGCTGACACTGTACTCCAACGTGTTGATCACGTAAAAGACCTTGGCGTCGTGTTGGATGAAAGGCTTACTTACACTCGCCACTTCTCAGCCACAATCGACAAAGCGAACCTAGAAGCGAACCGTCAACTAGGATTCATGTTCAAAATCTCAAACGAATTCCGGGTTCCTTTGTGTTTTAAAGCTCTTTACCATAGAGGTAACTCTAAGACCACTGGGTCCCGAAGAAAATCATTATTATTTTTGGCTCACTCAGTACCAGAACAACGGTCCCAAGCAGTCACAAGCTATTTCACTCACCCCTGCATGTTCTGCATGAATCCACACACCCCTGATGTTATCTGTCAAACTTTCATAGCGAATCGAAACAAACATAGTGTAGTAATAGAATTTCAACTAGAATAGGGTACGTTAATCGTTTGCTTGGGACCAATAGGCTACTAAAGTGGTGAGCCAATTTAAAATCGTAAGTTTCGTATTGATTGTTGTATTTACTGCTCATTGGTGCGCTCATTGCTTGAGTTTGCGTGTGTTGTCTGGAGTCCCTACCAGGCAGTATGGATTGCACGATTCGAAGCTGTCCAACGTAGATTCGTCAGATACGCATTGCACTATCTTCCTTGGAGTGACCCACTTAATCTACCACCGTATGCTGATCGCTGTCGTTTGCTGGGCTTGGATACTCTTGTTGAGCGGAGAAACGCATCGCAGGCTGTCTTCGTTGCCAAAGTTTTGCTTGCTGAATATGATGTGCCGGAGTTACTGGCTAAGATTAATGTATATGCACCTGTCCGTACACTCCGTCCGAGAACTTTGCTACACGAGGAAGCGCACAATACCAATGCAGCTAACAGCTCTCTTGTCGACATGGTTCGTCAATTCAACGTGGTATCCGACCAATTCGATTTTGGCATCACTTCATCCAGATTTCGTAATCGCTTAATGTCGGGCAATTTTAATGTATGACTACTTTTAGCTTTAAGTGTTTCATTAAGACTTTAAAGTCAGATGGATTAATAACAAATAATAATAATAACACGAAGGAGTTCTTCATACGTGACCTTTGCGAGAGAGGAGAAGTCAAGCTTCAGTACTGCCTGAGCGATGTGATGCGGGTAGACGTGTTCACCAAACCATTGGGGAATGTGAAGCACAATGGCTTCGCAACTCTAATCGGTCTTCACGGCAGTCGAGGGGCCACCGCTGAGGAGGAGTGATGAACTACATCGGTGTATCCCTCTTTACTATATGTATCTTGGTAGCGCATATCATTATAATAACCTTGGCGCTCATCACCAATAGTTACCCTGTTGTTTTTGCTTTCCATTCTTGAATAAAACGTGTATCTTTGCAACCGCGTGTTTATCTTTTTTCGAAAGTACCTGTCCATCTCGGCCTACAGTAGCAACCGTTTTGTCTGTATCGTTGGCTGCTTTATGTGTTTGGATTCATTGATTTTCATCGTTGTGACCAGTTGCACCACCAGCAGCTCGGCATTTTATTTTGCTGGATATCAGTGAAAAACTTACCGAGGTTCAGCGAAATTTAAGTTTGTTTGTTAAAGGACGGCGGATGTTTTGGGGAATCCTTAGGGTTAGCTGGGGAAGCGAAAGACTCCTTTTCACTTAGCTTCCCTAATGGTGGCGACCAGACACCCTCCACTTGTGCCACAGTTCACGAACCTCGGGCCGGCTTTTTGGGGATGTAACGATGGATAACATAACGTTATTGGTAACGCCACGAGTTGAGATAACCAGTTAAGCTGGTCACACTGTAAGAGTGAATGGCAGCTGTTGGGGAAACGCGATATGATCAGGGTGTTGGGTTCGGCAGTAATGCCAACAATCAATACGAAACTAACGATTTTAAATTGGCTCACCACTTTAGTAGCCTATTGGTCCCAAGCAAACGATTAACGTACCCTATTCTAGTTGAAATTCTATTGGAAGATTGCCGTAAAAGCTCAACGCAGATGTCTCCACTGCATGATGATGATAATGTTGACAGACTGCATATAAAATTCGTGAAAATTAGCGTTTAATCATAATTTTCATCAAGCCTGTGTAAAATCCTTCCAATATAACATTCGAATTGAAGAAGAAAACATTTTTACGATCAGACTGATGTGCATCTTTGACTTTTCCAATTGAACTTTCATAAGATATATTCATTTCATTTCGCGGCTCCATCAATGCTGCATCGTAAATATGATGTAAACAGAAGTAAATTGCTCAATTACTCAAAATAAAGATGATTTGTCATCTTGTTATCACTTTGAAGACCATCTAGCACCATTTTATAGTATGGTGCGTGTTGAGTAAAGGAAGTTCCGTTGCGTTTTCCGTCGAAAATTGTGAGTATCAATATGTTTGCTTAGAAAAAGCCAAAATGAACATTTATTGAATATTGGCGTCCTATACAACCAATTCTCCATTACCACCAGCATGATACATACAACCTTTCCTAAGTAAATTAACTTTATTTCCACTTTCATCTTAGTGGAAATCGCACATATTCACCATTTTCTGAAAAATGCAGCTGCGCAGGCGGTAACCTCTCGCTGTGGGTGCAAACTTGTTATGCATTATTTTCCATGAAAACCTCTCCGATGCATACCGCAATAATAACAATTAGTTTTCAAACACGTTTTCTTACACGATTCAATCAAAAGTTTCCACGGGAAATTATTAGTTTTTCTTTATGGACCGATTTGCCCCAAAAATCGTCTGTTTTACTTGAGGATTTGGAAACTATCCTCCTTCTAGTAGTTCTCACTTCGAAATGTAGGAGGCGAAAGCTTGGAAAAGTTGCACTGCAAGACGCCAATTACTACACTATGTTTGTTTTGATTCGCTATGAAAGTTTGACAGATAACATCAGGGGTGTGTGGATTCATGCAGAACATGTAGGGGTGAGTGAAATAGCTTGGGACTGCTTGGGACCGTTGTTCTGGTACTGAGTGAGCCAAAAATAATAATGATTTTCTTCGGGACCCAGTGGTCTTAGAGTTACCTCTATGGTAATGCTGAATATTCAAGTATAGGCGGTTGTTCGGTACGGACGCTTTCATGGAACTCTCAGGAGAGAAGGCACGAGTCAGATTTTACCGGGGGAAAATTTGTTTCACTCCCGACGGTACTGAGAATCTATTGACCAGCTGACGCGTGTCACGTAAAACGGCACTGAAACTCCTAGTTTCCAATAAAACGTACGGAGCAAAAACCCGTCAATCTTCAACCGTGGTTCGTAACTTTCTCCTTTGACAATCACGGACTATCACAAAACCACCATCGTTCTCCTACAATCGTGCTCGACTGTTATGCTGCTAATGTTTTTCGCCTTCTTTGCAGTGGGAGGAGAAACGGAACCTAATTTTATTACAAACGCTAGACAATTTATTGACGAATTTACGCAAAGGTAAAACTGGCCATGCGACTCCTAGTTTTCAGATTTGCAATTACAAATTGATTATGTACTAAAAAATATTCCATACGATTTGACAGGTATCAAAACGTCATTATCATTTTCACATCATTTCCATCTGCTGGTCGACCGTAACGTAAATTCATCAATAGGGTGGGCAATAATTGTCACCCTTGACGAGGGTTACAATGGTTGAGGCAACTTCTGCTCGACTTTGGTGAGGAGCAGAAGGGTCCAACAGTGTTGAACGAAGACAACCAGGGTTGTCTCGCGTTTGTGAAGACGGAGCGTTCGAGCCGACGAAGAAACCCCTCGGATCGATGAAGCTCGCGATGAAGCACCAGATGTTCTGTGGAAGGTTGGGGCTCAGAAGTTCCAGTGAAGCGGTTGACCATTGAGGAGGAGTGTGGAGAAAAACAAGGTTCACCTTATGATATAGATACACCTTGGTCACCACACCCGTTCGAACCCCTAGTAGCTGCCGAAATTTATAGCTTTGATTTGTTCCAGATGTGCTTGACTATTGGTTCGAATCCGGTTCAATGTCCTTCTTCCAGAACCACAATCCAATTACTGCAGATTTCATGCGCAACAATTTTAATTCCATGAACCTTTTAAATATGCACTCGTTCAATCATTTGAACCATAGAGGTAACTCTAAGACTAGAAGCAAAGATGAATACTAAGATGAAGCTGTCGGAAGAAAAACTTTCTATTTTAGTGTCCTCTTTCACGGTCCCTTTCATCCGTTGAATACCCCTCGTATTCAAGGTAATTTTGTGATTTTGCTGCCCCCTCGGTAGAGATGAAATTTTGCGCTCATTTTTATCAAAACAAACACACCAAAATCAGAGGTGTCCCATTTTTTAGTTACTCGATTAACAACTAATCGATTTTTTTCGTTCGCTGTGCTGCCATTTTTCCACCAATGAGAGTGCAGCACATGTTTGAAACGATCGGTGATGATCCTCTGGAGAAGTTAATGCTTATATCAGCATGATCTGGAGAAGTTAATGCTTATATCAGCATGATATAACCGATTGCAAATATTTTACTTTTCGGTTCGTTAATCAATTAATCGATAATTCGAATGAAAATCGGCCATCACTAGATGAATGTGAAACCACAGACAAACAGACGTAACTCTTTGAAAAAGTTTTTCTTGAAAACATAGTTTCTCAAAACATAGGACCTCAGTAACGACATCTCTCGGCCTTCTCGCGGAAAACAAGCTTGCTCGCTAACTTGCAAACAATATTGCATAAAAGCTCTATATAATGTATAGAAACGTCAAAGTGATCCGATGCCAGCGCTGCGGCGAGTAGTTCGCGGAACTGATAATATTCAAATCAACCGTTAAATGCGTGAACGAAGATACACAATGAAGAGTTACGTCTGTTTGTCTGTGGTGAAACGTCATTTCAAATATATGGACCGTACATAAATAATGATACAATTTGAAAGGGACCGGGGCTCATCACAAATTACGTCCACACGGTAACTGAAATAAACACGAGTGTTCATCGGTTGCTAGAAGGTTCCGAAATAACGTGCTAAACTTTTTGGCTCAGCTCTGGTACTCTCTTCGGTCCTAAGCTAATCGATTCACCCCTCGAAACATAGGAAAATCCACTAACCTTTCATTTTATCTGTCAAACTTTGATAATGAATCAAAACAAACATTGTGTAGTAGTAGAATTTCAACTAGAATGGGGTACGTTAATCGTTTGCTTGGGACCAATAGGCTAGTCAAGTAGTGAGCCAATTTAAAATCGTTAGTTTCGTATTGATTGTTGTTTGAACTGAACCGGGCTGGTACCCACAATCAATACGAAACTAACGATTTTAAATTGGCTCACCACTTTAGTAGCCTATTGGTCCCAAGCAAACGATTAACGTACCCTATTTTAGTTGAAATTCTATTACTACACTATGTTTGTTTTGATTCGCTATGAAAGTTTGACAGATAACATCAGGGGTGTGTGGATTCATGCAGAACATGCAGGGGTGAGTGAAATAGCTTGGGACTGCTTGGGACCGTTGTTCTGGTACTGAGTGAGCCAAAAATAATAATGATTTTCTTCGGGACCCAGTGGTCTTAGAGTTACCTCTATGCTGGTACTGTCTGGTGATAAGCAGAAGATAAACAATTGCAAATATTACTTCTCAGATGCAATAGAGGTTGTCCAGAAGTATGGTGCAAATGTGCTGCGGCACAACTCACTGGTGGTTCGGGCGAATAATTGCAGGTAAGTTAATATTAATGTTACGTTTTACATATGCATCACTTCGTTCATGGCACGTCCTGTGGTATTTCTAGTCACATGTTTTGCGAATCGTGGCAGCATATATTCCGTACAATGCATTGGGAATACGATTTGAATGTTAACGAGAATAGCTACGGGTGAATAACTACTTGCAGTTTTGAAGTTGTAGTGAATTAAATTCTTCCATCATGCTCATCACACGAATGAAATTATGCTCCCCTAATAAAAATTGTATGGTTAATTTGCTTAACGACGTGTTCTGGGTATCATCCAAACCATTTGTGGAATAGTTCAATGATTTGGGTTATCGTTCGTTTATGGTTATTTTTTATTAGGGTCCCCTCTCCAACTTCCCATTTCCAGGGTAGAAGATATTAAAGACATCATCAAGGACGTCTGCTTACCGTAGTAGTCATCTTTGGTAGAACCATAGAAGTAACTCTAAGACCATAAAGCCCCGAAAAAACGAGCTCAACTTTTTGGCTCAACTCTGGTACTCTCTTCGGTCCCAAGCTAATCGATTAACCCCTCCAAACATAGGAAAAACCAATAACCCCTCATTTTATATGTCAAACTTCAATAGTGAATCAAAAGCAACATTGCGTAGTACTAGAATTTCGACTAAAATGGGGTACGTTAATCGATTTGCTGGGGACCAATAGGCTAGTCAAGTAGTGCACCAATTTAAAATCGATAGTTTCGAATTGATTGTTGCTACTACGATGTTCCATGAAATCAAATCGCTGTCCTTGATTTCTAAAAAGTTATCTGATGTTTTTATATATCTGATCTGAAATATTAAAGAGTCTCACCCGCTCACAAATTTGAAAAGTATTGCTGAGTGGGAAGCTTATTACCGCCAGAAGTTTCGGTTTTTCGGCGCGTTTTGATTTTTCTAAAATTATTGGTAAAACACTAGGTAAAAATAGCGAAGCTTCTCGTGAAGACATTTCGCCCATATCGTTATAGATTTTTTCTAGCATTTTTGCGTTTGACTTCGGTTTAGGTGGACTACAGCACAACTAACGGAATCCGGACTAAATCGTAGCCCACTTAAACATAGCCCAACGAGCGAAATTCGACTGTATTTGGAATTTCGTTTGATCAAGAGTGCGGTTAACCTAAGTTGAAATATTTCAATCACCACGATCAACCGAAGCCGCGGAACCTTACAAAGTGAATGCAAGAAAACATGAAACAAATCTTGAACATCCCTACAATTCTTGCCATCTGTCAAAACGTGCAAGTGAAAAAATGGAGAACATACCACGAACGCACGAAGGTACGTATTTTTCATTATTTTTGCTGTATAATCACTATATTTTCAGCGAAAAGTTATTAAATTCCAAAGTTCAAAAGGTAGTGAACGCAAACGAAGTGAAACCTGTTGAAAAATAGCGAAAAATTATACGATTTCAATCGTTTAAATCTTCCGACTTTTTCGGCTCCGGGTGGCGTAGCCATGTTTGTTTCGACCTCCCCCTCTGTAGGCTGAACATTCGCGTTTGTTTACGCCGTCGTCGTTTTGGCAAGGTTGACAATTTATTATTGATTGTTTATCGTTTTCTTTCAACGCAGATATCGAAGCGCAAATCCGCGATATCCAGACGAAGAAGAAGGAAATCAGCGCGGAAGCGGCCAAAGATAAAGGCGTAGGGCTGCTGGAAAGCGGATACTACGACAGTGAGCTGTACGATGGATCGAGCGGAAAGGGCAAGTACGAGGGCTACGTCACCTCGATCGCTCCGAACGACGACGTAGATGACGACGAGGACGATGGGATTCCTATGGGGCGGGGTAACCGCCCGGCCGGCTACACCGCTCCCGCTGCACTGCTGAACGACGTTGCGCAGGTTTGTAGACGATGGCATTTCGGCTTCCGGTTTTGAGATGGTAACGGTCTGTCTGTTTGTTTTGTAGCCGGAAAATGATTACGATCCGTTTGCGGATCGCCGCCGACCGACGGTCGGCGAGAAGGAAGATGAATACAGGCAGAAGCGAAGACGGCTGGTCATTTCGCCGGAACGTATCGATCCATTCGCCGACGGTAAGTTTCGATTTGAGTTGTCTATGTTTTCTCCTAGGCGATAAGAGTATACATTGTTAGTTGATTAAGAATGTTGACATTGTTGTATTTTGTTGGTTAGGGCTGTTCAGTTTATAAATAGGTCATAAATGACGGGATACAAATGAGATAAGGATTCTGGAGTGCTGTAAATGGGAATTACATGTCACAAGTCCTTGTAGTTTCTTTATGCTACCCGCTGCTGGGAGTAATTTTCGATTAGGTCGATGTTATCACGTACTCTCTGTATATTCCTAGTGTACTATGATGCCATTTTGGAACTCAATGTGGCAGCTTTTAGTCAAGATTTTAAAAAATGTAAATCGCTTTATTTATAAACTGAACAGTCCAAAATTCCGGCGTGTTCCGTCGCTTGAATTGCTGACTCTTGCTTGGGGTATCAGACGGATCAAAAACATGTTCTCCATCTGATATCTCTTAGCAAAGCATTTTTCTTTGGAAGTGAGTGAAATTTCGAATGACTGTGAATATCCCCGTTCTCAGAGTGCGAGTGTGAATATACGTCTAGTAAATGCGACGAACATCTTAAAGTTAGATCCTTGCTGTGCAGCAATATGTTTTTTTTTCTGTTCAGATTCTTTATTTATTTTCACACCTCCCTCCCCCCTATGTACAATTGTATCACTTTTGATTAACGAAAACCACTTACCATGCAGGTTTGCGGACAACCATGTCAGTATGAGACCGCCGCCGATGGGGAAGGCTCTCTCAAATGTCTCAGGTTAATATTCCCTCGGCGCTCCCTCGGAGATTGGAAAATGAAGAAACGAGCTTCCAAATTTTTCCGATCTTGCTTAACGACGCTCCCCGAACTTTCAATCGTTCTTCCTTTTCCGATCGCTGAAGTAAAAAAAAAGAAACTAAATACCGAGGGCAGTGTCCAGAGCTTGGGATTTGTGAGATTGCGGATGCGAGTGTGTGCCTAATTCTAACTGAGAACAGAAAATTATTAATCACAGAGATTTTTTTAGGAACCCGATAAAAATGTCAATTCCCAAATAATAGCCAAATGAAAACGTGAACATTTTTCTGCCTGTTTTGTTCCGAGAAGAAATAATGATACACGATAATAATTTTCAGCTTGTTCTAAAGTAAAAGAAAGCTATTAGACAATTTGCAAATAAACAGCAAGGCAGAAAAAATGTTTCGCGCACTGAGGATCTGGCTGGAGCACGTACGTATCATCGAGCCGGGACGAAATTTGAAATTAAGACCATTCTTTTTTCGCGCCAATTTTATTTTCTCCAGCTAGAGTGGAAGTTTAATTTCAAGTTATGTCTCGTTCGTATTAGTTAGATGTTTTAAAAGAAAAAGAAGATTGAATTCCAAGATCTGAATTACTCATCAGAAGTATCCTGTTTGCTTATTTTGGATATTTTACAGGCGGCAAAACTCCCGATGTTGGGTCCCGTTCCTATACGGAAATTATGCGCGAGCAGCTGCTCAAGGGGGAAGAAGCGGAGGTATGCCTATTAGCAAACAAAAGTTAAAGTTTGAATTTCCACTCTAATCCACATTTTGCTTCCAATTCGCCAGCTTCGCAAAAAGATCCAGGAAAAGGCAAAGGACGGCACACTGAAGGTGAACAGCAGCAGCAGCGGTAGCAGCATCATCAATTCCAGTAGCAATGGGGATATCAGCAAAGCACAGGCACTGGAATCGAAGAAACGTGGCCGCTGGGATCAAACGGTGGAGGAAACGTTCGTGCCGCCGAAGAAGCTGTCGTCCGTACCGGCGACGCCAACGTGGGGCGATGCTGAGGTAAGTTTCAGTCGACAACACCCAGTCAGTAGAAAAAAGTTTGTAATATCGCATCGAAAACGGAAAGGAACATGATTTATTTGTATTATAATAGTCCCTAATTAAGTGGAATGTCTAAATATTTTCGTTTTCTGGAGCCACTTGGCCAAGCACACTGGAAAATATGTTTGTTTATTTGTTTATTTGTTATGGTTGCATCAACAGACTAGAAATAGTCCCAATGATGTGTTGTAAAAAAAGTACAGATTATACAGACGACATACATATACTACAGTTACTACAGTTACAAACGAAAATAACTTGGAAAGCATTGTCAAGTTACTAAAAATTAAATTTTACACTTAGCTGTTGGATATCAAGTGCCTTCGGTCAGCAAAAAAGGCAGAGAATCTTCGGCGAAGCATATTCCGTGTCAAGTGGAAATCGAACATCGACGCTACTCGGTTGAACACTAGCTGCAAGCCGTAAATAGCGCTCCCTATGCTATAATTAGTTCGAAGAAGTGGAAGTCTCAGCATAAGACTGTTGCGTAGTGATCGAGGTTGAACATTAATGTTCACTTGTTGCAGAATTGCTTCGCAGTCGATTCTTTCTTGCAGAGTATCGGCGACGGTTAAGGCTCTGAAAACATCTCTTCGGATACGTAAGGGCTCGATATTGATCAATTGGCAGCGATTCTCGTAGCTTGGAAGACGAAGTGGGTATCTCCAAGGCAGCTTACGGAGCGCGAAGCGATGAAAACGTGGTTGCATAGATTCAATTCGCTCGGCCTAATTATTGTAGTTCGGGCTCCAGACAGCAGAGCAGTATTCCAACGTAGATCGAACGAGAGAGCAGTAGAGCGATTTCAAGCAGTAAGTGTCCGTGAAGTTCTTAGTAATCTTGAAGACAAAGCCAAGCGTTCTGGACGCTTTGTCGACGACATACGATATATGGTGTGAGTATGTCAGCTTTGAGTCTAGAAAAACGCCTAAGTCTTTCACGCAGTGCACCCGTTCGATAGTCGTGCCTAGTAGTTTGTAGTTGAAAATAATCGGTTGTTTCTTGCGTGAGAAAGTAATAACTGTACACTTAGCTGGGTTGACCACCAGTCGGTTTAGACTACACCAGTCAGCAAAGATGTCAATCTGATTTTGGAGAGAACGGCAGTCGGCGAGTGAGCGGATGCGCAGAAAAACTTTCAGATCGTCTGCAAACGATAATCGTGGCTCTGTGATAACATGGTGAACGTCGTCGAAGTAAAGGAGAAATACCAATGGTCCCAGATGGCTGCCCTGAGGTATACCGGACTTCGCGCAGAAGCTTGCAAAGTTACTGTCAATTGGCGCTCCGTGAGGTATGAACGAAACCATCTCAAAAGATTTCCACCGATCCCTAGCCTATCAAGCTTAGCGATCGCAATTTCGTGGTTCAGCTTCTCGAAGGCTGCCGTAAGATCTGTGTAGATAACGTCCGTTTGGGTCCGAGCAATCAAACTGTCGTGTGATGTAAGACGTTAGGCACAGCAGGTTCGTAGTTGTGGAACGCCCAGTTATGAATCCGTGTTGATCTGTACTTAGATATTGCCTGCAATGCGCATTTAGGGACTCTATGACAACCAATTCAAAAAGTTTTGATACAGCACTCAGCGACGTGATTCCCCGGTAGTTGTTTACGTCGCGTTTGCTTCCCTTTTTATGAACAGGAAACATATCCGCAGTCTTCCAGCAAGACGGAAAGATGCCGCTGGAAAGAGAGAGCTGGAATATGCGGCGCAGTGGACCTAAAAGACAAGTGATGTTCTTTTTAAGAATAATCGACGGAACACCATCGGGTCCAGCCTTAGTTGAAGTCTTAAGTTTAGATGCTGCTCTAGAAATCGTATCTGTAGTGGCTTCGACCATGCTGAGCGTTTGGTTGATCAAAGGAACATTACTGGCCGCGGAAGTAATGATATTAGCGGAGAGTTGCTCGGCTTCAAACACACTAGCAAATTTGGCTGAGAACAGGTTGCAAATGTCTTGTTGATTTCCAGCAGTTTCACCATTAAAAATCATGGAAGAGGGTAAGCCGACTTCCCTGCGTTGCTCATTTACGAAGTTCCAGAAGGATTTCGGGTGTGATTTTAGACGCCGTTGAATCCTCCTTTGATAGCGTTGAAAACAGAGACGACTTAACCGCTTATACTCGTGGTTGAGTCTGACATAGTAGCATTTCAGTGGCAGTGTGCGGAGTTTAGTAAATCTTCTGAGAGCAGCCTTCTTAGTTCTTTTCAACGAGCGAAGATCTTTCGTCATCCACGGGACGCGAGAGTCGATATGGATGATCTTTTTGGAAACGTGTCTGTCAATGACATATGCCAAGACGTGAGAAAAGGTTTGTGCAGCAATGTTGACGTCTACAGGATCTAGAATATGCTCCCAATCTAGATTAGACAGCACATGGACGATACTGCAATGGTCAGCTCTACGGAAGTCATATGACACAGCGTTTGGAGTGCTGGTGAAATCATGGACAATATTATTTTCGATCACGATAACTAAAGCAGGGTGATGATGCACTACCTTGACTAAAGGTTCGGGTGCCGTGGAGAGGAAAGGAGCTGTATCACGAGCACTCACAAAGCAGAGATCCAGGGTGCCGTTGTTTTCATACAACAGGCCATTGATTTGTGACAGAATTGCGGTACTATAACTGTCCAGGAGCTGGATGGTTCCTACGTGGAAAGATGAACGCTCGTGATCAGGACAAAAGAAACCACTATGGGTTGGAGTCCATGCAATGTCCGGTAGGTTAAAATCGCCAAGAACAATAACTTCGTGGGAAGGGCCTGCTTTGTCTGAAGCGGCCAAGACGGATCGACAATGTGCGTCAAAAAGCTCCAAGTCACGGGTTCGATCTGGAGGAATGTACACTGCACAGAGAAGCAATTGACGATCACCAAGTTGAATAGCCACCCACATTTGTTCAACCCTGTTCCAGGAATCGTCCTCGATAACTTCTGCTTTCAGCTTGGAATTAACTGCGATAAGGACGCCTCCCCCAGTAGTTTTCCTACTATTATTCGTGTTTCGATCGCAGCGAAATATTTCGTAACCAGCACCAAAGACATAGTTTGAAATGGTTCGATAATTGAGCCATGTTTCGGTCAAAACTAAAATGTCGTAGCAGTGATCCATGACGGCCAGATGATAATCTTCCACGAGGCCGTTCATACCACCAACGTTCTGATAGTAAATCGTTATGTCCGACCTCTGCTGTTCGGGAACAACGGAAGGTTCAGCGTGTAGTTGCATTTGGGAGCTGGTAAATGTCACTTGACGGAGGAAGGATGTTCGAGTAGGGCCGTTGCCAATAACAGGAATGTGGGAGATCCCTTCTCCCATCTCAAACGCAGGGCCGGGACGACTGCTGGTTGCTGGCAGGAGGGGCTCGACTGCGATGAGTGGAATAGGGGCTTCCTCAGGGCGGACGGCAAGAATGCGTCCCGGAGTGCAGTTGACTGTGGTGGCTCCATGTTGCCGACTGGCAGATGTTTGAGGTGAGTTGAAGGCACTGGAATTATGATCATCAGGCAGTGAAAGTTTGCTAGTAAGTGTGTACTTGCCTAATATAGCAAGCTGGGAGACCCTCAATCCACATCTAAAGTCGTGCCTAGTAGTAGGTCAGAATAACCTGAGTATGGGAGAACTCATCACGCAACGATAAACTTAAATCACAGAGGTACTTGCCTATGCAAGCATGGTGGAAGACCCCCTTTCCACCACCAACTACAGGGCCGAGACGACTATGTTGAACGAAGGCGGCGGTAGGCGGGACTGTGTTGGGGCGATCGGGGGCTTCCATCAGACTTTCTACGGTGCGTCTCGGGGGCATTGTTGATTCGTCAGATGAGGGGATTAAGGGGTGACTGTTATACTGGGTATACCTAAAGGGGCTGGCATATCGAGAGGTGCTGGTGTCCCAAACGGTGTGCCCGTTGGAGAGCCACCCGGAATAGTCTCTGGAACAGCAGTAAGTGCTGGGATATCAGGAGGTAGCCACACATTGTTTTTCGCCTGAGTATCCTCGAATTCTCTGTATACAATCCCCTGTGGCCAAGTTTCAGGGTTCAAAGCGTTCTCTTTTAGTTTCATTGGAATGCCGACCTTGTAGGAGATGAAGTTCATCGATAGTGGGTCGGTGCCTTTTTTCACTAAAGAGACGACTTTAACTGGTTCAGTGTTATTCTAGAAGTTGAAAAACAGTCTTTTGGATTAACGATACATTTAGGGAGAGTTCGAATCTCTTTTCAGGGACGATCACAGGACTGGTAGCGAGTCACTTTTTAGTGACTTGATCACTTTTTTCTAGCCAGTCACTAAAAAGTCTCTTTTTTAAAGTCAAGTCACTAAAGTCACTTTTTCTTGTAATCAGTCACTATTTTCAACTTTTTTAGTGTGAATTTATTTTAAGATTGATCATTCTTTGCTTTGTGACGTTTTATCGTCTTTATCTACTTATCTTTCTAAATAAAATTACCTGAGTTTTCCAGATCTTTAACGGATAAATTCCAGGCTTATAATAAGAAAGCTATTTTAAATTTGCTATTTTTTAAAAACATGCTTATTTGTAGATCAACACAATAGCAATTTACCCAAACGTTTTTAAGACATGGCAATCAATCAGTTTTAAAGAAACAGCTTTACAATCAAATCCATTGAATGTTGAATTTAACACTTACTTAATTTCTCACTTTATAGAGTTAAAAAAAAAAACTTACATAATTTCTCACTTTACAGAGTTAAAAAAAAAAACTTACATAATTTGAGTAAGTCCAAAATCAAAAAAATATTCAATGTCTTGAAGTTTCGTATTCCATGTACAAGTTCTAGATAGGGTTAATGTTATATCCGTAACCAAGGCCAACAAGAAAAACAAGCTGTTGTTAAGAGCTACTATTTATTACGTCTATCTTGGTTGGTGGTCGGATAAAGAATCGATCTCTAACTTATGACAGTCAGGCAAGGCCTACTACATCTCCCCCTTTTAGAAAATGTCATAGGAAGAGAGCCATCTTGGAATTCCTGATTCTCGTACAGAACGTCGAATAAAGTCTCCAACTGCTTCAGATGACACGGGCTTTTGTGCGGACTGAAGTTCTCCATCTTGAGCAGCAGGTTCATGATCGATTGTCGAAAAAGGATTTTCGCCAGACGTACTTGCCACTTGACCGTCAGCTTCGAGTGATACGGAACCAACAGGAATAGGGACATCGTGATTGAATGGCACTTCTGGATCCAACGGTACAGCTTCATCTTGAATTTCATCAAGCAGGATTTCCCATGGTAGTTACTGCGTCGCTTGCTCTGGATCATCAGAAGTGTGACGAGGGCGCATTTGGTTTACATGCGACCTCACCAGCTTCGGTCTCCCGTTCATGTCCAGTGCAACGATATAGTTGACGGAACCTTTCCGTTCGATGACTCGACCAGGAATCCAGGACTCGACCAGGAATGGTGGACTGCGGGTGGTAGGGAGCAGTGCGGAGATGGGTGATACCATTTGCACGGCAATACTGTTGAAACTGCTCGCTGGTGAATTGCGTTCCGTTGTCTGAGACCAATGTGTCTGGGTTGCCGTAACGAGAAAACGTTTCACGCAGCATATTCAGGGTTGCAGTTGTGGTAATGGATTGAGTGCGAAAAATTTCGGGCCACTTAGAGAAAACATCTACCATGACGAAATAGTAGTATCCATGGATCGGACCAGCAAAATCGATATGGACACGTTGCCATGGCTTGTCCGGGAGAGGCCATGACTCCAAGGTTGCTTTTGTCGGGGACTTTGCTGCTTCAGCACATGTAGTGCACTGACAGACAAATTGCTCCACATCGTCGTCAACGTTAGGCCAGTAGATGTAACTTCGGGCCAGAGACTTCATTCGGTCCATTCGTGGGTGTCCACGATGCAGTCTGGCAAAGAACTTCTTGACATCAGAATCAGCAACTTGCTTCGCATTTGCTGGCCAACCTTCGTTAAGGAAATTCACCACTTGCTGAAGAATTGGATCCTTTCGCGTCTCAGCCACAATCATCTGGTGCGTGACTGGAAGGTTGCTGATGGTGTCGTCGAGAATTGCTTTTTCTTCAGATTCGACGCACATGGCGGCTATGACGTAATCCTCATCTGGTCTATGCTGCGATGACATTAGCCGGGATAGAAAATCTGCATAGCCAAAATTCGTCGATGAAACGTGTTGGATGTCGAAATCGTACAGCAGAAGTATCAAGGCCCAGCGCTGCAAACGGTTTGCTGTGTAAACAGGAATACCTTTCTTTGAGCCGAAAACCTTGAGTAGCGGTTGATGATCGGTTTGCAGGAGGAAGTGTCGTCCATACAGCATTTTGTGGAAACGGGTGACAGCAGGGCCAATGCTTCCTTCTCCACTTGTCCGTAGTTCATCTCTGCTGGGGTCAGTGAGCGCGAGGCGTGCGCAATTGCCTTCACTTCACCGGTCGGGAATCGATGCATGATGACAGCGCCAAGGCCGTACTTCGATACATCTGCTGCAACAACGATTTCCTTGGACGAGTCGTAGTGTGTAAGCAGCAGGTCGGAAAGTAGAATGGCCTTGAGCTGCTCGAAAGACTTCTGGCAATCCTTGGTCCAGTTCCAGCGTGCATCTTTCTTGAGGAGGCTGTCCAGAGGAGCCCTGAGTTGCTTCATCTGCTTAACGAATCTACCATAGTAGTTGACAGCACCGAGGTAGGAACGGAGTTGCTGGACATCCTTCGGAGACTGCATCTTGGAAATGGCTTCTGTTTTTGAAGGGTCAGGCCGAATACCGTCCTTATCCACGATGTGTCCGAGAAACTTGATCTGGTAGAGTGCGAAACGACCGCGCGAAAGCCATACTCACGGATCTGCTCGAGAACAGCGTAGAGACTGCGATCGTGTTCCTGCTTGGTGCGACCAGCGATGAGGATGTCGTCCAAATACGGCTTGACTCCAGGGATGCCGGCCACCATGCTGTCGATGATGCGCTGGAAAGCGCCGGGTGCCGACTTGACTCCCAGGGGTAGTCGGTTATACTGGAACAGTCCACGATGCGTGTTGACCGTGAGTAGCTTTCGCGATTCCTCCTCGACCTTGACCTGTAGGTAAGCGTCAGACAAATCGAGATGAGTGAAGTAATGTGCTCCAGCTAGTTCCGCAAAGAGCTCGTCAGGATGAGGCAGTGGATGATGGTCACATTCTAGCGCGTTGTTCAGCCCCGTCGAATAATCGCCACATACACGGACTGATACATTGTCCGACTTGCGTACGACGACTATTGGTGCTGCCCAGTCCGAGAATTAAACTGGAGAAATTATACCGTTTTGCTGGAGCCTCTCAAGTTCTGCGTCCACCTTGGCGAGTGCAGCGTACGCTACTGGTCGTTTCGGGCAATATGCAGGACGTGCGTCAGGCTTGAAATACAACTTCACTTACGCTTTTGTGCATCTACCCAGCGTGCTTGGAAAAACTTCCGGAAACTGTTGCTTGAGTTGATTGGTGAACTGATCAGAACGTTGGTGTACGACGTTGACCAAGCTGCTTATCGTCACAGACCACAAATCGAACAGATCCATAGTCTCGATTCCTAGAACGTTGAGTTCAGCGCTACTTGAAATGAAAATGCAACCAGTCTTGGTAACATTCTTGATGGTGATCTCGGTCTGGAACTCAGCGAGAAGGTTGAGATTGCCACCAGACGCTGTAACTGCAGATTCTTCCGTCGGTTGAGTGGGTGGCTGTCCGATGCTGATCCATGTTTCTTCCGAGATTATGGTGATGTCGGACGCCGAGTCGTGTTGAAGTTTGACTGCTACACCATTGAGCTCGACCGGGAAGGACTTCCGCTTGCTTCCGATGTTGCGAATCGTGTAGATGCTTTTTGCCTTCACGTTCTCTTTGGATTTGGCCTGTTTGAACGGTTTCGACGGCGCATTCTTGTTGCTGTTGCAATAACCTTCCTTGTGTCCTTGTTGCTTGCATCTGGAACAGGTGTGCGAAGCGAACGGACACTCACGAACATAGTGCTGGTCGCCACACTTCCAACATGGCGTTTTCGGCACTTTTTGGTTCTTTTTTGATGTAGGATTATTCTGGTTACGAGAAACAATGTTGACGTTCCGTGCTTCTTTGTTCTCAACCATCAATGTGTCCTGCTTGAGATTGGCCACGCGATGGCATTCTTCCACGAGGTTCTCCAGGGTTACCTTGCTGGTGGCTTCTCCCAATTCGTTGACTGCGGTTTCGTCGGCTTCCAATTTCGAGATCAGCCTAGCTCGTATGTCCGCATCCCGTGGCGATTGGAGTCCACAGACGAAACGGAGAGCTTTGAATTGGTCCGGTGTGAGCTTGGACAGCTGAAACGCTTCACAGTGTTTGTTCAGCATACGATGTGAAGTCATCCGCGTCACTTTTTGCATACTGGAGGCACTGGTAACGGGAATGAAAAACCGACTTCTGTCGACCGAACAGTTTCGTCCAGGGTGAAGTCCCGGGGATGTTTGGGAAGAATGGTGTTGACGTACCTGAAGATACAGTCAAACAGCAGGTAATGTTGTGAACAACTTCAACGACAGTTGTCCAGCAGTGCTCCCAGTTTATTTACAACAATCCAATGTAGGCAGTGTAGATTGTGCCGAAGGTATATCGAAGGTGTGCCGATGGATGAGCCGAATCTAATTTCGGCACAATATGCTGAGTGACTTACCCCTTGGATTCAGATGAATATTTTTTGGGAAATTGTAGGTGAATTCCATGGGAATTCAGAAATGATTTTCCAACTGAAGTTTCAACTGAATGCTGAAGCGAACTTTAAGAAATTTCTGGAAGTATTCCAAGGGAGTGTGTTTTAAAGGCAATTTTCAGGAAATTTTCAATATACAGTCAAGATTCCTGTAGTACGGATGCGTTCTTGCCAAATAGTCAAGTTGCCACTGGATTTCTATAATACGGTCCATCCGGCATTAACTAATACACGCAACAGGAGGGGGGGGGGAGAAGTTGTCCGACCATTTATTAAGTATAGGAAAACACGCTACAATCTCAGAGCTTCATTCCATCCACTTTAACATTCTTAAGTCTAACATCCACTAATTCCTGTTTTCCGTTTTGCAGAAAACCCCAGCGGACCATCGCTGGGACGAAACCCCGGGTCACAAGGGTAGTGAAACTCCCGGAGCCACTCCGAGCGCCCGCATCTGGGATGCCACTCCGGCGCATTCCGGCACTACACCGGGTCGGGAAACCCCGGCGGAGAAATCCACCCGCCGTAACCGGTGGGATGAAACTCCGAAAACGGAACGGGAAACCCCGGGACACTCGTGGGCCGAAACGCCACGTGCCGACCGCGGCCCCAGTGACAGCGCCATGGACAGTACTACACCGGCTTCGAAGAGACGCTCCCGTTGGGATGAAACACCGTCGAATGCGACCCCGTCGGCTATGACACCGTCGATCGTGATGACACCGACTCCGCATGCCACACCCGGGCATGCAACGCCGCTGTTGACACCCGGCGGAACAACCCCCATTGGACACAAAGCGATGGCCATGGCTACGCCCACCCCCGGACATTTGGCTTCGATGACACCGGAACAACTGCAAGCCTACCGCTGGGAAAAGGAAATCGACGAAAGAAACAGGCCATTTAGCGATGACGAACTGGACGCCATGTTCCCGCCAGGCTACAAGGTCCTACCACCACCGGCCGGTTACATCCCGATTCGAACTCCTGCTAGAAAGCTGATCGCCACTCCGACTCCCATGGCAGGAACCCCGGCAGGATTCTTCATGCAAGCCGAGGACAAGAGCGCCAAATTCATCGACAACCAACCCAAGGGCAATCTTCCATTCATGAAACCGGAAGATGCCCAGTACTTTGACAAACTGTTGCTCGATGTCGATGAGGAAGCTCTCAGCCCAGAGGAACAGAAGGAACGCAAAATTATGAAACTGCTCCTGAAAATCAAAAACGGAACTCCCCCGATGCGTAAAGCCGCTCTACGTCAGATAACCGACAAAGCTCGAGAGTTCGGTGCCGGTCCGCTGTTCAATCAGATTCTCCCGCTGCTCATGAGTCCCACGCTGGAGGATCAGGAACGTCACTTGCTGGTCAAAGTTATCGATCGAATCCTGTACAAACTGGATGATCTGGTTCGCCCGTACGTCCACAAAATCCTGGTCGTCATTGAGCCACTGCTGATCGACGAAGATTACTACGCTCGCGTTGAAGGTCGTGAAATCATTTCCAATTTGGCCAAGGCAGCCGGTCTGGCCACTATGATCTCCACCATGCGTCCCGATATCGACAACATTGACGAGTACGTGCGTAACACCACGGCCCGTGCTTTCGCCGTGGTTGCCTCGGCTCTCGGTATCCCTTCGCTACTGCCTTTCTTGAAGGCCGTCTGTAAGAGTAAGAAGTCCTGGCAGGCTCGTCACACCGGTATCAAGATCGTTCAGCAGATTGCCATCCTGATGGGATGTGCCATCCTTCCTCATCTAAAATCCCTGGTGGAAATTATCGAACATGGATTGGTCGACGAACAGCAGAAGGTCCGTACGATCACTGCTTTGGCCCTAGCAGCCCTGGCAGAAGCCGCCACCCCGTACGGTATCGAATCGTTCGATTCCGTTCTGAAACCCCTCTGGAAGGGTATCCGAACACATCGCGGTAAGGGTTTGGCTGCGTTCCTGAAGGCCATCGGTTACCTAATCCCGCTGATGGACGCCGAATATGCCAACTACTACACCCGAGAAGTGATGTTGATTCTGATTCGAGAGTTCCAGTCGCCGGATGAGGAAATGAAGAAGATTGTACTGAAGGTCGTGAAGCAGTGCTGCGCTACGGACGGTGTGGAGGCGCAATATATTAAGGAGGAAATTTTACCGCACTTCTTCAAGCACTTCTGGAATCACCGAATGGCACTGGATCGGCGCAACTACCGGCAGCTGGTGGATACGACGGTGGAGATTGCCAACAAGGTCGGCGCATCGGAGATCATCAACCGAGTGGTGGACGATTTGAAGGACGAAAACGAACAGTATCGGAAGATGGTGATGGAGACGATCGAGAAGATTATGGGAAATCTGGGGGCGGCCGACATCGATTCCCGGCTGGAGGAACAGTTGATCGACGGTATTCTGTACGCGTTCCAGGAACAGACCACGGAGGATGTGGTCATGCTCAATGGATTCGGCACGATTGTGAACCAGCTGAGCAAACGGGTAAAACCGTACTTGCCGCAGATTTGCGGTACCATTCTGTGGCGTTTGAACAACAAATCGGCGAAAGTGCGACAACAGGTGAGTGCGGTGTTACTTTAGGATGGTCCCGTTCTAACCTATGTTATCTCTCTTCTTATCCTCCGTTTACAGGCAGCGGATCTGATCTCCCGCATCGCCGTGGTCATGAAGACCTGCCAGGAGGAGAAGCTGATGGGTCATTTGGGCGTCGTGCTGTACGAGTACCTCGGTGAAGAATATCCGGAAGTGTTGGGTTCCATCCTGGGTGCCCTCAAGGCCATCGTCAATGTGATCGGTATGACCAAGATGACTCCGCCCATCAAGGATCTTCTGCCGCGATTGACACCGATTCTGAAGAATCGTCACGAAAAGGTTCAGGAGAACTGTATCGATCTGGTGGGTCGCATTGCCGATCGTGGACCGGAGTACGTGTCGGCTCGCGAGTGGATGCGAATCTGTTTCGAGCTGTTGGAGCTGCTCAAGGCCCACAAGAAAGCCATCCGGCGAGCAACGGTCAATACGTTCGGTTACATTGCGAAGGCCATTGGCCCGCATGATGTGCTGGCTACGCTGTTGAACAATCTGAAGGTCCAGGAGCGACAGAACCGTGTCTGTACGACGGTTGCTATTGCCATTGTGGCGGAAACCTGTCGGCCGTTTACCGTGCTGCCAGCCCTGATGAACGAATATCGCGTTCCGGAGTTGAACGTCCAGAACGGTGTCCTCAAATCGCTTTCGTTCTTGTTCGAGTACATTGGGGAAATGGGTAAGGATTACATCTATGCCGTTTGTCCGCTGCTGGAGGATGCGTTGATGGATCGAGATTTGGTTCATCGGCAGACGGCCTGCGCCGCTATCAAACATATGGCGTTGGGTGTTTACGGTTTCGGCTGCGAAGATGCACTGATCCATCTGCTGAACTACGTGTGGCCAAATATCTTCGAGACGTCACCGCATTTGGTGCAAGCGTTCATGGATGCCGTCGAGGGGCTGAGGGTAGCACTGGGACCAATCAAAATTCTCCAATACACTCTGCAAGGGCTGTTCCATCCGGCCCGGAAGGTAAGAGACGTCTACTGGAAGATCTACAATTCCCTCTATATCGGATCTCAGGATGCATTAATCGTCGGTTATCCACGCATTTCGAACGACCCGCAGAATCAGTACATTCGCTATGAGCTGGATTATTCACTTTAAAACAAAAACAAGAGGTATCTTATCATTAGGCTATGTATTGGAACATTCTTAATCGTGTGTACGGTCAAGCAAGCAGTTGTAGTTCTTCAATAAAGTGTTACGACGGAGTCGAGTGGGTCGCTCATTGTGAAAGAACTTCCTTTGGAGAAATGTGTGCGCGATAAGGGGGCTAGGGGAAATGCTCCTATATAGTTGCGGTACATTAGAAGCATTAGGTTCCTATAGTTGTGTATGGAGACTCAATACACAACTATTATAGGAACCTAACGCTTCCAACGTACCGCAACTATAGGGGCTTTTACCCTAGTCGTCGCTGAAACGCTTGGCACCGTAGAATTTTTCTAGTCCAGGGTGGTCACTCTACACACTTATTATGCGCCAACTTTTTTCTCAGAGTGCCGCAGCTGTGCCGAGAGTGTCATCAGACTGAGTTTTTTGTTTGTATGGCAACCCGGTTAATTTGACAGTTCACATGTTTTGTTTTAAAGAAACAAAACAACAAGCAGTGGAATCCTATTCCAGATCCTACTGGGGTGTTTACATCTGTGCGGATTTGCTAGTGCTAGTTGCTCCTGAAATCTCATGTTGGTAGACGCTGATGCCCTGTTTACATTATGCTGGTGAGCTTTTTTGCTAGCAGCTGGCTCATTAGCGCTAGTGAAATAGCCCCCCTTATTCTGCGAGTCACGTGACTCTCTGTCACCGGTGAGGTGACAATTGTCACCTCGTGTGAGGTGACTCTCCGTGCAAATCAAATGGAGAGTCACCTCACACGAGGTGACTATTGTCACCTCACCGGTGAGAGAGAGTCACGTGACTCGCAGAATAGGGGGGAGCATAAGTGTAAACACCCCATAGCGGTCGTGTCTCGCGGTTCGTTGCTCCCAAATTCTGAATGTCGTTTGGCTGATCAACGAAGTGGTGAAGCGTTACGGAATCAAACCTAGATAGAGCTGGAATTAGGGCGTAACAGCCTTTGTAAACAATGACTTCTCTCAATGATTTCTAGGAATTCAAGGCACGCCTACACAAACAAACATCCATCGAGTAGCGGAAGACTTCCCCTACTCGATGGTGCTGTCGATTTGCCAGGGAGAGCCATGACTTTCGAGAAATCCTGGAGAGAAGTCATTGTTTACAATAGCTGTTACGCCCTAATTCCAGCTCTATCTATAAACATGGTAAACGGCACTCATTCTTTCAATTTAAACCCAAATGCAAATCGGTCAACGCGAAACACAGTACGTACACATTTATTTATCTCCCTAGGGCTTATACTAAATAAACTTAAAAGATAAGACAGACTAGAACAAACAAAATTCGCTTTCTTTTTTATATTTTGTATCTCACGGGAATCTTCTCCTCCCTGTTTCCCTGCTTTCAAGCTTGCAAAATCGTCGACGTGGTGCTGTTCCGCACCGTCGTGTATCGAACGGGAGACGTAAAGCCCACGTCGTTCCCCTTCAGCTTCCGTTTGACGAAAACGAAGATCACTCCGATGATTAAGCCAACCAGCAGGACTATCACCACGGACAGGAGCGACAGAACAATGGAACGCGGCCGCAGGAAGGCCGGAGCCTCGTAGATTGGGATTTTAGGAACTTTCTTCGGTGGCGACGAACAGAGCGACTTGTCGGCTAGATCCGTCAGGGGCAGTGCCGCCAGATCGTACGGTGTTTCGCAGCGAGCTTCGGACCTGCTGTGCTGGAACTCGTCCTCCAGGATGTGCTTGATGGATTCGATGGTTTCGTAGAGCTCGCAGTCGCAGTGCCAGCGGTTGCCTTCCAGCTTGACGGACCGCAGCTTGGGGAACACATCGATGTAGGCTATGTCAGAGGTTTTGTCCTGCACCGGGATCGGTTCGTCCAGGTGCAGGTTCTTGATCGAGCAGTGGGAAATGTCCAGCTGGAATGGGAAGGGGGATTTTTTAAATTAGAACTGTGCGAATGGTTCTGTTGGAGGTGAAAACCCCAAGGACGCGGCGTTGGGCTAAGCCAGATATTCACACCGATATCCAGCAGTAGCAAAGCTCAAGAACTGCAGCTTGGGAATTACAAATGACGGAGGTCAGAAGGAAGATCGATGAACTCTACGTGTTCTTAAAGGATGGAAACAACGTACACAAAGAGATCAAGCAACTTGTGACCGGTATCAAATCTGGCATAACAGTGGCAGATCGGGAATTCCAAGAGTGGAGAAAATGCCGCAAAAGGCTCTGCTGCAGGCCAACGAGAGCATAAGGCTGGCTGAAGTACATGAGACGTCAAAGAGGACCACACCTCCACGTTCTGAAAAGAGAGATGAGAAGGAGCCCAAAAAACGCAGGGACGACTTGAAAGGCATCAAGGAGATGGGAGGAAATGGTGAGTGTCGAGAACCAGAAAGAACAAGGAGAAGTCTAGGCCTCGTAGGGAGAGAAGCAAGGGTGACGCTCTGGTTGTTGCGGCGAAAGACAAAACGTCCTACGCAGCACTCCTCCGGAAAGTGGGAGAGGATCCGGAGTTGAAGCAACTAGGTGAGAACTTGGTGAAGACCATGCGAACCCAGAAAGGCGAGATGCTATTCGAGCTTAAAAGGACCCTACGGTTAAGAGCGCAGCTTTTAACGAGCTTGTCGAAAAATCTCTTGGCGGACGTAAGAGCCTTATCCCAGGAGTCAGTGGTCGAGTGCAGGGATCTGGACGAGATCACAACGAAATATGAGCTGAAAAGTGCGCTGACGTACCAATGGCAATGGTGTATGGTTGCACGCAGACGGCGTCGATACGGCTTTCTTCGGACGCAGCTAACGAGCTGCTGAACGGGTGCATGGGCTTCGGTCACCAGGCGAGAAACTGCAAACGCCCTGACAAATCTGATCTGTGCAGGAAATGTGGAGAGAAGGGGCATGCTCTGCAAAAATGAGGACGTATACGGCCGTGTGACGGGAAATTTCGAGTCCCTCTCGATAATGGTAACTGGGTGGTGGATAAAGCAGGAATGGTGGCCATACAAGACATGGACAGGTATCCCATTCAACAAGTGGTGATGGACTCATACGAAGGTTTCGTGATCGCCAAAATCAATGGAATATTTGTATGTAGTTGCTACGCACACCCGAGATGGACAATGGATCAGTTCCACCAAATGCTAGATGGGCTCACCGGAGAGCTCATTGGACGGAGACCAGTCGTCATCGCAGGAGATTTCAATGCTTGGGCAGTGGATTGGATGAGCAGATGTACCAACGCAAGAGGGTATAGCCTGCTGGAAGCTATGGCAAAGTTGAACGCCAGTCTTGCCAAATTAAGAACAATCAGCACCTTCCACAAAAATGGTAGGGAATCCATTATCGACGTCACTTTCTACAGTCCGCCGATAGTGTCAAGTATGATCTGAAGAGTGTGAGAAGAGTACGGCGCAGTATGGGCGAACGGACACCGGTGGAAATGTGGAGGACGAAAGTAAGCGAGTGGAAGACGAAGGCATTCAATAAGGATCTCTTCATCGAAGCTCTAAGGGTAGATAGTAGCGTCCCGGGCCTAAGCGCGAACGAGTTGACCGATTCGTTAGCAAGGGCATGTGACACAACTATGCCGAGAAACTGGAGCCAACGAACAGGCGGTGCCCAGCTTACTGGTAGAATGAGGAAATTAGCACCCTCTAGCCAGAAGGCGCGTTCAGAGAGCAAGAGCTGACAGAGAGGAGCGCAGGATGGTGTTCCGAGCGGCCAGGGCTGCACTAAAACGAATGATAAAGCTGAGCAAGTCAAACAGTTTCAAGAAGCTGTGCCGAGACGCCGAGGCCAATCCCTGGGGCGACGCATACCGAGTCGCGATGCCGAAGATCAGAGGTCCAACGATGCCGGTTGAAATGTGCCCAAACAAGCTGAAAGTCATTGGAGAGGTACTTTTCCCACAGCATGATCCAACGACCAGACAACGTTGAACAAGTCTCGTATGGAATTCCCAACGTGGCGTTCCAGGCATTACCGGGCATGTTCAGGGTGGTGCTGCAGAAACGTCTGGACGAGGGGCTGTTTCCTTATAAGTGGAAGGTACAAAAGCTTGTGCTGCTGCTGAAGCCCGGAAACCGCCGGGAGATCCAGGCCAATATGCTTGCTGGATACAGTCGGAATGCCCTTGGAGAGGATTATCCTGAACAGGCTGACGAAATGCACAGAGAGTGAACACGGATTGTTCGGATTTCGGAAAGGGGGATCGACGATGGATGCAATTCGGACAGTGATTGGCAGAGCCGAGAAAGCTTCCAAACAGAAGCGGAGAGGAGATCGATACTGCGCCGTCATTACGATTGATGTGAAGAATGCATTCAATAGCGCCAGCCGGTAGGGCATCGCCAAGGCGCTCCATAGAATGAGGGTTCTAGACTATCTTTGCAGGTTTCTAAGTAGTTACTTCCAAAACCGGGTCCTGATCTATGAGACAGTCACGTGGCAGAAACCACCGTCTGGGAGTAATGATCGACGACCGGATGAACTTCAACAGTCACGTCGAATATGCGTGCGAGAAGGCGACGAAAGCCATCAACGCGATAGCCTGAATCATACCGAACAATTCTGGTCCAAGCAGCAGCAAGAGGCGTCTTCTAGCTAGTGTGTCCTCATCGATACTAAGGTACGGAGGTCCAGCCGGGATTGAATCGCTGAAAACGCAGCAAAACCAAAGAAAATTGAGCAGTACGTTCCGGCTCATGGCTATGCGGGTCGTGAGTGCGTACAGAACCATTTCGACGGAGGCAGTATGCGTTATCGCCGGTATGATCCCAATCGGCTTCACCCTGGCGGAGGACAACGAGTGCTATATGAGGAGAGAAATCAGAGAAGTACGGTAGATGGACACACAGACTAATATGGAGAAGTCAACTTCCACTTGCTGTTCCCGTCTGGTCATGGCTGCTCCAGGAAGTACCTGCATCGGTTCGGCCACACAACGTCACCCTTCTGTCCGGAGTGTGGGAATGTGCAAGAATCACCAGAGCACGTGATCTTCGAATGTCCTAGATTTGAGGCTGTGCGAGAGGAGATGCTCGCCCTTAGCCCCCTTAGCGTCAGCAGAGCAATAATGCAGATCACATGGATGCACCGTAAAACCAGCTAATTCATGCTCTTCGCTGATAACGTAGAATTAAACCTACGGCCATGAACTACACAACCCACCTGTCTCAATCGTATCAGCCCCTTCAGGTCACTCATATCGAACTCGACCAACATGGGATTATGGCTACAGGTCAGCACTTCCAGCGACTTCAATCCCCCGAACGTACCGACACCGATATCATCCAGCAGTGGCATGCCGCTGATGTTCAGCTGCGTAAGATGGTCAAGATCTGAAATCACGATCAAAACGTTACCAACAGAATAATCCTCAAATACCAACTAAACAAAAAAAAACACCCTCACCAAAGAAGCTCTCATCGTTCAGCTGTTGAATCGGATTCTCTCCCACATAGAGTGCCATCAGGGTCGGCTTCAGCAATCCGATGGAACTCGGCACCGTCGTAAACTTATTGCCCTGCAGCAACAGTTCCCGCAACCCTTCAATCTTCTCAAACATCGCCCGCGGGATGTCCACTAGCTCTGTGTTCGACAAATCTAAATGCTCCAACCGACTGATCGATCCTAGTGCCTGGACCGTTCCGTCCGTGAGTTCTCCCAGCGCGTTGTGGGACAACGATAGCCGCCTCAGATGAACCATGTGTTCAAACAACGAACCGTCCAAAAACTCAATCGAATTGTAGCTCAAATCCAGCTCATCCAATGCGATCGATTCGTATTCCTGTTCTGCGTACTTGCCGCGGAAGATATCCGGTCGCAGGACATCTCCCGTCAGCAGATTCCAGCTCAAATCCAACCGAATGATGTTGGGCGTATCCAGGAAGGCTGCACTGGCCAGCTCCGTCAGGTTACAATGTCGGCAGCTGAAAACCAAATCCGCACCCGTTGCGGGCAGTTGCTGAAGGGATTTGATGTCGTTGCCGGAAAGCGAGAAGACGATCTCCTGATCGTCATGGTCGTTTCCGAAGATGTCCGGCCAACTGGCCAGCATGTGGCGTAGGTTCTTCGTCGAACAGTCCAGTATGGAATAGCTGAGGTGTAGGGCGCTGGCCTCGTTCCGGACGCTGCACGTGCAAATGTCGCAAATCCCTTCGACGGGCTCGAACTCAGTGTCCGTCAGGGTGTGGCCAACGGAAACCGCCACCAGTAGGAACAAGAAGATCTGCAATGGTCAGAAGAAAGCAAAATTCGATAAGTGTGATTCATCGCCGACATTCTTGATTCACATTCATTCTTGGAAGTTGATAGGAATTACCTTACTCATGTGGTCTATCATGTTTGCTAAAACTGGCTAAACTAGATCTCAGAGTATACAAAGTGCATTGTAAACGAAAATAAAATATCCGCTGCAGCTTCGCAGACAAACCGAGTTCTTGGTGGCTTCAATGTTTCCTGCACAATGTAGTTGACTGAATGGCTGCAGGTGATGAGGGAGGCCAAGTCGCTATCGCAAATTGTTATCAGTTCACACCCTGCCTTTGGCAGTGTGTTGTCGTCGTCGAGCAGATGCAAACGGGGGAACCTTCATTAGCGAGCGAACGGGACTGTTATCAGAGGTAGTTGCGCACCACGGTGAGCTGATAAAATTCATAAAACGCCAAAAGAGCGGTAGTCAGAAAGCGAGAGCCACGTAATGGAAATTCTTGGAAGAAGGGCGGATTCGGTAACCAATCGTTGCATACGCTTTCAGTGAATAAGAACAGTAATGTTGGTAAATACAATTATTGTTAGTTCATGGCATTAATGTAGGTAGGTTTGAAAGTGTGTTTGTTAAAATTAATTAAGAAAAATGCTAGATTGTAGGAAAAATTCTGTGATATCTCAGATAACCTAATCAAAACGTACTACAAACAGATAATTAACCAATCAGGATGAGGGTAATGTGTTGAAGAAGTATCTGGTGGTATTTTTGCCATTTATTATATTTATTTCTGGTCTGCTATTCGCGACGTTTCTCTCTTAAGGGGCTGTTCATAAACTACGTAGACTGTTTAGGGGGAGGGGGTTGACAAATGTCTACGGTCTATACAAATTTCCCAAAATGTGTATGGACAATTGTCTACGCGGGGGGAGGGGTCTAAAACTTTTATAATGTCTCCATAGTTTATGAACATCCCCTAACTTGTTTAGATATCAGCGTGGTGAAAAATTTGGAGATTCTCGGGATCCTCTCGTATCGAGCTTTTCCGAACCATATGAGTAACTAGGATGTTGTGCTTTGGGGAGGGCCCTAGCTGTCAAGACACAAACCATAGGCAGTATAGGGAGGGGGATTACTTTATCCTACTCTCAAAATGATCCACACGTCAATACTACGTGAAAAATCACGTACGGGAGGGAGGGCCAGGTTAGGCATAGTGAGCATCCCGCTCTTTGGCTCTGGATGTCCAGCTGCATGAAACAAATCAACTGGTAGTAGGTTCAGTATCATTATGATATTGATCCTACCACTAATTTGTTCCGAACGGCCGGAAGTTCAAGCTTGTGCACGGGATGCTCACTATGCCCCTTTTACTCCTAGGTTCTAAAAAATGCTCTTTTTTCCAGTTTATCTGACAAAGGTAACTGAACGACACTACATGCAAACACGAGGATTTTTAGTGCATCCGAAAACAAGCGTCCACCAACAATCAACCAGGGCGAAGGAAGGATAAGACCCCGGCTTTCAGGACGGAGCACTTTCCGCATCTTTGGGGACAAGCGAATTCACGGGCGCCATCCGCTCCCCCTCAAGAAACTTGTATTCTGCTGGACCAAAGTCTTTATCCCCTTTGGATTCCCGATTTGTTCTTCGCTCTGAACTGATGGAAATCTTTGTCGAATTTTACTTTATTTACGCGGTGATGATGTTGGTTCACTCGCAACTATTTTTGAAAAAAATTAAGTATTTTCGAACTAAAGTGTACCATAATTGCTTCTGAACGTGTTTCGCAGTTGGGTGTGGTGAAATTCGTGTATTCCCGTTTGATTTTGGAAATCCGTATCACAAAATTGCCCACCGATTCCTTTTTTTTGACGTTCGACGACGGGTGTGCTTTCGCGAGAGTGAAGTTTATTGGATCCGTTTCTTTGCACGGGTGTGATTTTTTTTTGTAGCTAGCGTAAAGGCCCACACACATTAGATCCGAATCGGACGCGTTGCGGCAAAGTGACAGCTAAATCTATTGTCTAACTGTCAAATTTACGTCAACGCAACGGAAATGGATCTAATGTGGGTGGCCCTTAAGTGTGCCTGCGATTGGCATCGAGTGTCGGAGATTGTGAGTAAGCTGAAGGATGTCTCGCTGGATACGCCCAAGACTGGACGGGCGGTAGCAGGTGGCCGTAAACGGTTCCTGGGGAAAGCACTAGATGCGACCCTCCTCCCAGATGACCATGGCAATACATGTATTTCTGCAGAAAGTATTACAACAAAGGTAATTGCTATTAGATATTTTGCAAACAGTGACAGATAGTGGACATGAAGAACCAGTGGAGGTGCCGGGAAAAGGTGTTTATCCTAGACAAATGGTAAGTTACAAATTCTCTGTTGTCGTTGTCGTAGGCGCCGTCGTAGTCGCTGTCGTACCAGAGCTGAACCAAAAAGTTGAGCACATTTCTTCGAGACCTCCTGGTCTTAGAGTTAGCTTTATGGTACTACCATAGAGGTAACTCTAAGACCACTGGGTCCCGAAGAAAATCATTATTATTTTTGGCTCACTCAGTACCAGAACAACGGTCCCAAGCAGTCCCAAGCTATTTCACTCACCCCTGCATGTTCTGCATGAATCCACACACCCCTGATGTTATCTGTCAAACTTTCATAGCGAATCAAAACAAACATAGTGTAGTAATAGAATTTCGACTAGAATAAGGAACGTTAATCGTTTGCTTGGGACCAATAGGCTACTAAAGTGGTGAACCAATTTAAAATCGTTAGTTTCATATTGATTGTTGGTGCTGCACCGTTCGTGATGGCGAAAGTGTTGACGACGCCATTTGTGAGTGTGGTATGCTTTCCAAACCGTTTGTGACAACGGAGACAATGACAACCGATGTTTACGTGCGTGAGTGTTTAAACAAGCGTCTGTTACCCATGATCCGCAAACACGACGCCTCAGTACTGTTTTGGCCGGATTTGGCGTCGGTTCATTACTTCAAGGACACGGTAGCCTGGTATAAAGCCAACAAGCTCCAATTCGTACCCAAGGAGATCAATTTTAAACGATTCGGTGACGTCCGCTGAAAGTTTATGGGCACTTGAAACTGTGGCCACCCATGGTTCATACCGTAGTGCAGGTACCAGTGTTGCTCTGTTCCAGAAGATGTTTCCTGACAGCCAAATTGCTTCGAAGATGGAGATGAGCCGCACCAAAGTTGGTTATTTCATCACACACGGTCTGGCATCTTACTTCAAGAAGATCTTACTGACCAAAGTTGAAAGTTGCTCCGAGGTCGTCCTTGGATTCGACGAAACACTGAACAAAATTGCAGCAACTTGATGTAAGCATTCATTTTTGGGATGAAGACAAGCAGGAAGTACAGATAAGATATGTAGGCTCAGCTTTCCTATCATCGACACGAGCGATTGACTTGATGAGTGGGATCAAGAAGTGTTTCGAAGCATATCCCGGACTGTTGAAAAAAGTTATTCAGGTGTCTATGGATGGACCCAACGTGAACTGGCGACTCCTTAACGATCTGTCCTCCAAATTGCAAGAGATGCGTGAGAGCAGTTCCTTCAGTCTACTCAGCATTGGCAGTTGCGGTCTTCATGTAGTGCATAATTCGTTCAAGAGCGGTATGCAGAAAACGGACTGGAAGATCGATCAGTTTCTGATGTCGTTGTACCAACAATCAATACGAAACTAACGATTTTAAATTGGCTCACTACTTGACTAGCCTATTGGTCCCAAGCAAACGATTAACGTATCCCATTCTAGTCGAAATTCTAGTACTACGCAATGTTTGTTTTGATTCGCTATGAAAGTTGGACAGATAAAATGAGGGGTTATTGGTTTTTCCTATGTTTCGAGGGGTAAATCGATTAGCTTGGGACCGAAGAGAGTACCAGAGCTGAGCCAAAAAGTTGAGCACGTTATTTCGGAACCTTCTGGTCTTAGAGTTACCTCTATGGTTGTACTACCTGCTAAAAGATGTTCCCCTAAGACGTGCTGACTTTATAGCAGTTACTGGTAGCACCATACTGCCGCTCAAATTTTGCGGAGTCAGGTGGGTGGAAAACCAGCTAGTAGCAGAACGAGCTCTAGATATGCTTCCTCATCTGCGAACATATGTGAAGGCAGTAAAATTTCAACAAGAGTCAAAACGAAAAGAAAGTCATCCCGATTTCAGGAGAAGCTTTAAGGCGGTTTACAGCTCCACCGCGTTTTCAGTGGTGTCCCAAGCGGTATCGGATCAGCTCTTTGGACCTAAATTGAGCTTTTTTGTAGCTGCAGCGGCAAATGTGGAACCATTTTTGAAAGAATTTCAGGGTGATGCACCACTTGCTCCCTTTTTGTACGATGAACTAACAAGACTAGTTCAAAATGCGATGCAGAGAGTGGTGAAAGCCAGACGGCCTTAAAAAGAAACCTAAAGCGCTAACGGAGATTGACTTAAATCAGGACAACCTTCTTACATCAGCTGAAGTAGACGTGGGATTTGCTGTAAAAGCGGCTATCAAAGCGGAAGGAATCCGTGGAAAAATGTCTGAACAGCAACTCTTGGTGTTTCGCAACGACTGCAAAAACTATTATGTTGCATTTTTGACGAAACTCCTCGATCGTTCGCCATTTCGATATGCTCTAACAAGGTATATTTCTTGTTTAAGTCCATCTGTCATTTCAAACTCCCCAGATGTAGCCAAGAAACGACTTGAGTTTTGTTGGGAACATATGGTGGAGAAAGATCATTTGGCTGGAGCTGTTGCGGACAAGGTGAAGGATGAATATTCGCAAATTTGCACGATGGCCTTCTTCAAGTTAATTGCTTCAGGATATCGCAGACAGGAGACACGGGTCGATCATTTCTGGTTGAAGGCAATTGCTGATTCTGGAAAACAGCTTCCGAATTTGGCATCGTTTGTCAAGAAGATATTGATAATATCTCACGGAAATGCAGCCCAGGAGCGCGGATTTTCCGTCAACAAGGAGTGCCTGGTGGTAAATCAATCCGAGGAAA